CACGTTAAAAATGCCCATGTGTGTTCTCATCGTTCCTGAGTAGATACTAAGTGTCAACCACCTGTGGCACATACCCGCAAACCAGCGGAACGTATACCCGCCCGTGGTTATGTGCTCCTTTCTGGCGGGAAGTGTTTGACAACGTACGCGACGGAATTTTGACATTATTCATGTGTTGACCAGCGCATCATATTTGTCAAACAAATTTATACCGTCCCATGCTAATTTTGGTTCACGCCACGTCAAGAGGGCGACCACAGGAGCACCCAAACGTAAGAGGATAGATAGATAGATAGATAGATAGATAGATAGATAGATAGACAGATAGATAGATAGATAGATACGCTCAACGTTGCCGAAGTTCGCTAAGAAATGCTTCGCATTTAAAAAGAGGGGTCAGTAAAATCAGGTGTTTTTACGTCTACAAGGCAGGAGGTAACACTTCACTATTCTGTATGTGTAAATCGGTGGCTAGCAAACGTTTAACATGTTGCCTTGCTAATATGTTAGTAGTTGTCAAAATGAACAACGAAAAAATTGACGGTGTCAGCACTTCCTGTGCAGCATGTGCGCGAATAAAAAAGAAAACGGTAAAGTAAAGAGCTGATAATCTTAGGAGTAGAGTAGGAAGAACTATGTTGAAGGATCCTAAGAGGCGCCACCACTACAGACAGCCCCACGGGGCGCCCCGAAGCTGTGGTCTAGTGCATGGCTAAGGTACTCGGCTGCTGGTCTGCAGGTCGAGAGACCGAATAGCGGCTGTGGCGGCTGCATTTTCGATGAAGGCGAGAATGCTGTATGCCGGTGTTCTCTGATTTGAGTGCACGTTAAAAAGCCCCAGGGGATCGAAATTTGCGCAGCCCTCTACTTCGGCGTCTCTCATAATCATGTTGTGGTTTTGGGACGTTCAAACCCTATATATTATCATCAGCCTCACGGGGCGCTCCCATGTGGTGCCACTGCAATAAAAATATAGGTGCTATAGCCAATTGGAAACAGTTAGGCCTCACTGTTAACAGTTAGTGCTATTGGAAGGTCTGCCCTCCTTGGAAAAATGAAGCGCAGGACCCTTATATTGTGCTCTACCCAATTTTTAGGCTCACCACTTTTCACGGAGACAGTCGCTTTGCAACGCCCTCGATAAATGAGACGACCAAACTCGTGAGATGAAATAATCGTATGGCATCTAGATAACTTAATGTTACAAAAAAGGCTTTGAAGGTGTTATTGCGCTTTCTGCGTTCAGCTGGTCAATAACAACGGCCCTAAGTGTATTGCCCTGCCTGGGTGTCCATGGGGCACATTATTTTCTTCGTTTTACTAGATGCGAATCGTCTTATGGTCGAGTTTTGTCCAGTGTGTGGCGCGACCACCCTTACTTCATAAGCGCGTCTTCCCTTCTTTTCGCTTTCCTACGCTCCCCCTCTTTCGCCTCTCAACGCCAAAGCAGGCAGTGTCTGCTAGCGCGTTTCTTGGTCGCAAAAAGTCAAAGCTTTCCCACAAAGGCGAACTATAGCAACAAATTGGAAGGTCATGCGCGGAATGGCAAGCAGATCAAAACGTGCCCCGCGTTTCTCACGCACAAAGGACGCACGAAACGTACTCACAGGTGCAGATTAACGCGAATAAGCGTGTCAGTAGTTACATCGCTGTGTCTCAAAAGCACGCCATTTTTTTCAAACGAAGGAAGTGCAACGATTGCCGTGACCTTCGTGCGCCCAGTAACTATAATATAATCGTTCCAACTAAACTGAAAGGCTAGCCAAGGCGTACGATTCTCCCCACTGCAACACAAGGGCGCGCTATCGAGCGTCCCCCCCCCCCCCCTATTTTCTACGCGGGCCAAAGTACGCGTGAGAAATGAGAGCCGCCGCGCGCTCACGGTGACATCTTGCTCATAATGCTGAAAAAAACAATAGTCCCCCACCCCACCAATGTGCCCGCTAATAGCAGTAAGTGGCTGATATGAATATCTTGCCGTTTGAACGTTGAAGGAGGTACTTTTCGGTGGCTCAGTGGATAACGGCTCGCTTTCTCGACGCGGAGATCCACGTTCGATTCCACGCACCGGAGTCTTTTTCTGGAATTTTTTTTTTCTTCTTACGTTTTCATATACATAGATACGTATAAATATACGGTGCACGACATCGATGCCGACGTTGACGCTGGCGTCGAAATGCTGCCGAGAGTGTCCATATAATTGCTATCGCAATAAAAACCGACTGCTCACGCTGCACTAGTTCACTGGCTCTTTATCCCCAAGGTAGTGTCAGTGGGATACTTCTCCTGTGCGTTATTGAACCATCAAAATTCGCAGCGTGCGCGTTGGCAAAAAGCGGACTGCATGTCCCTGTGTCTGATCGGAGACTTCTACTCTCACTGCTCATTAGCCGGATTCTGTCCGGCGCAAAGCCGCGATGAGCATCCTGTGTCAACACCTCCACCAATGTAAACATAGCGAAATAAGTTCAGGCAGACAAGCCACTATTTTGGTCCTAAGAAGCGAGCAGTGGGCCAATTGTTTAGGTAGGTCTCCACCCAGCAGTCACCTTCCCACGTCGGAACTGAGAGCCCATGCCTCTCGGCACGTTCACACGCCCTCGAGGACAGTCTGAAGCTGTACTTGCTATCTGGTGTCACTGACTACCATCACCCAGTCTGCTTCTCTGTTGAAGTACTGTAACGTAATACACAGCCAGAGCATGTTACTCACAGAAGAATATTTACAACAATATGGGTGGGCATTGTGGATTATTTCTGAATAAGGCATGCTCAGAAAGCCCCTAGAAAAGTGAGACTCTATCTGGAGCACGCGAAGCGTGCTTGCTTGTGATTTGTGGAGCCTATAACGAAAAGAATAAAACGCCTGTCGCTCTCCTCTGTAATGAGATGTTGTCTAGTGAAAGGTAACGACAGAATCACTGTGGATGAGCTCTGCCGTACTCACGTGAGAGACCAGCCCGTTGCGGCGTGTGAAACCTCACCCATGGTCGTGGGCTATTGTGGTTGGGTTCGGGTTACCGGGCAGTATGTCTCGTCCCATATGAGCTGACAACCAGACTATATCATGAAGAATGTCGGAAGGGTATTTGCCGCAGAGAATACCGACTGCCCCTGTTTCTATCAATCCCGATGCAAACGCTCTAATAGCCACTCGGCAAAATGGTGTAGTTCGTTGTGCGTTTTCGGTCCAGCAATGTCAGCGCTACCGCAGTCTGTTCTACTACATTGCCTGAGGAGGACTTCACCGAAGCGGCCTCATAGAATTCTGCCCTGTCCTTGACAACTGTCACAGAAAAGTTGTTGCTGGCATAGCGCGCAGCATCAACAAAGATTTTCGTTCCGGAGAGCTTCTGTTAAAAGACCTAGTCTTCATTCATGTACGACTTTTATTAAATGCGAAGAATTTCTTGGAGAACTTCGGTGACTTCACGCGTATCTATCTATCTATCTATCTATCTATCTATCTATCTATCTATCTATCTATCTATCTATCTATCTATCTATCTATCTATCTATCTATCTATCTATCTATCTATCTATCTATCTATCTATCTATCTATCTATCTATCTATCTATCTATCTATCTATCTGTCTGTCTGTCTGTCTGTCTGTCTGTCTGTCTGTCTGTCTGTCTGTCTGTCTGTCTGTCTGTCTGTCTGTCTGTCTGTCTATCTATCTATCTATCTATCTATCTATCTATCTATCTATCTATCTATCTATCTATCTATCTATCTATCTATCTATCTATCTATCTATCTATCTATCTATCTATCTGTCTGTCTGTCTATCTATCTATCTATCTATCTATCTATCTATCTATCTATCTATCTATCTATCTATCTATCTATCTATCTATCTATCTATCTATCTATCTATCTATCTATCTATCTATCTATCTATCTATCTATCTATCTATCTATCTATCTATCTATCTATCTATCTATCTAGCCGCCTACGACTTTCAGCTCTCTGGCCATTTCAACAATGGTATTATTACCAAATTTCGTAATCCATAATATGACTGTATGAAGAACATATTTGACTAGTCACAACAAGGAAATCATGACATCGATGTCATGAATGTCATAGTTTACGTTTCATGGTCCTGCAGCTCTTGCGGTGGTTTCGTTCACACGGCATGTTGAAAAACTTGTATGGTATGACATAATTGCATGGCGAACAGAAGCAACAGACCCTAACATGAAAATCAAGACATGCGTGTCATGTAACAGCATGACTACATGCCACGCTCATGATGCGCTCACGGCCGTTTCGCTAGCGTCACACATACCGAATTTAGTATTACGGTGCGTGAATGGTTGACGAAGGTATGTGACTGGTGTGAACATGATAATCATTAGATGCGCAATGGCAATGCTGCGATTGTCGACTTTAGGATATTCTTCGCTGAGCTTCGAGTCTTTCTGTTAGCATAAGCTTTCAAACGAGAGTGATTTATAATGCCAAAGTAAACCATAACCACGCAATTGACAGTTGGCGAGAGCATTAATGTACCGTGACAATTTACCAGCCCTCTACGACTATGTCATTGTAAACTCGACTGTTGCTTTTTGAACAGGGTACAATGCATTTGATGCAGTCACTGTAGAGAAAGCTTTTGAACTAGCTCATAAAATGCATTGACTTTCTGAATTCCAACTGCTCAGATGATATTGCTTTGGATACTCAAGTGCTGGTGACCATTTGAGCTGTTTTATTTTGTGAATTATACTGTAAATGGCCAGACACCTTTGAGTATAAAGAATTCAACAAAAGAGGTAGTTCACTAAACTTATCGAAAGAATGTGAAATTAAAGCACCCAAATTAAATCAAGATTAGTACATCTGCTAGGACTTGTGAAAAAAAAATTGTTTCGTGAAAGCTGTGCTTGAAAGTGAAGTATAAAGCCTCCGATTCTTGCAAAATTAAACACACAGACTACAGAAACACCTGTTCTTGGTATACTGTTAAGCATCACCTGAGTGTATTTGCGCAGATGAGTATGTGGTGACGACTGACGGGCAGCTCTACATCCGGGAAGCGCGCGACGCTGAAGAACTGCTACGCTACCGGTGCCACACCGAGAACACGCTCACGCGTCGGAAGAAGACAAGTTCCAACTTTGTACGCCTTCTTCTGAGGGGTAAGATGGCTTGGTCTCCTACCACGAGTATGCTCGTTTGTTTGTCTTTCAAGAACAGTGGCACGTACCCACTCTCGGAGATTGGCCAAGAATGAGCAGTTGCTTCGCCATTCTTTCATCCTTTTTTCGTTCAGCTCTGCGCGCTGTTTCTTGTCAGAGCTACATAACGGTATGTAACAACTCGAAAGGCTAAGTTCTTCCGACGACTGTTGTTTGGCTTCATCTATTTTCATCGACCTAATTATTTTCGGCGAGAACCTTATATGTATCATAACGAGGTGTACTACATGAACGAAAGCCGCCCTGAGCGGGTCTGCAAAGGGTGTAGAGTAGCAAAAAAATATGACGTGACGTGGTCTAAATGACCCTCGAATCTAGTGGGCAGCCCAACGACCATTATTGTCAAGTGACACACCCAAACAAAAGTTCGTTCTCCTCACTCAAATATTCCTCGAGTGTAGTGTCGAAACGGATAGTATACTAATACACATGAGGTCTACTATCACTTACCTCATATTTACAAAAACTGTCACACACAATCCTACTCAAATGCAAGTACGCTTTGCTTTTTTTCTCCTGGGGTGCTTTTTTATAGACTATTTAATAAACTCGATAGAGTTCCGTAGAGTGGTCTTAATTGAGCCCTTGTATGTCTTCTTCGTATGTTACCTCCTTTTTATTTTTCTATATTTTCATTCCTTGATCGCCTTTCTTTCTGCATGGAATAGCAAACCGTAAGCGCGTCCACAGCTTCCACCTCCTCTTCCTCTTACATGCAGAGTACGAGCAGAACACGGAGAGTGTCTAACCACGTACTTGAAACAACTTTTAGCAAGCGTTCATAAGCAAGAAATAAAAAAAAAACTTCTGTAACGCACTTCGTGTAGATTACGAAGCGAGAACTCACATAGCTGCAAAGAATGGTAATTGTGCCATGCCGTCTACACATAACGGCAAATCAATAAGAGCAAAAATATTTTCGAAGAACAACTCATGAATTGGGAAAAATATATCTTGCTTTCGTGTGCAACGCGCGGCTCGAAAAAAATTCTCAGCCGATTTTCCGCGTGGGAGGCTTTCTCGTAAATGAGCTAGAACTTATTTTGCATTAAAAAAAGCTTTCTTCCCCTGGCGAGTTCAGGCAGAACTAATTATTCATACAGCAAGTTTTTTACTTGTGCTGAGCGCTCACTTAGGGTATTGCGGAATATATTCAGTTATGTATTACATGAAATGTTCGTCCTATTACATTTCATACTATGAATATTTTTGTGCATTTCTGGTCTTTTCAGGGACATGCCGCTTTTCGTATCTTCAGCTGCGCAAGCATTTGTACTTGTAAACAGGTTTTCTGCCATGTGCAGTTTTGGTGTGCGTGTGTGCGTGTGTGTGTGTGTGTGCGTGTGTGTGTGTGTGTGTGTGTGTGTGTGTGTGTGTGTGTGTGTGTGTGTGTGTGTGTGTGTGTGTGCGTGCGTGTCGTTGACCTCCCCCATACAGTGTGAGTAAAAAGTGTAGGGAGAAAAAATTTTCGACTTCTTCTATAATTGCCTCTCAATAAAAAATGAGAGGTCGAAATCAAGGTGTATCTTTTCATTATCCCTCCCTCGCTCTCCCCTAACAGAAAAAGCAAAATGGAACATCTTCTTTGTTAGTCAAAGCAATACTCTGTGCCATACATTTTTAACGCCATATGCCGCGCAGTTCGCTAATGACTCATGCACAGTGACACAGGCACACTCATGCATAATCAGGAATACACGTGTCCCATGCATAATTTATGGAAAAGGTTTGCGAAAGCTTCAGACAAGTGGGGCGACTTAGTAAAAATAAAGTAATAAAAATTATAGTGAAAAGAAAAGTCGTATTGAGCCGAGCTCATCCACCAAGTCGCTTTCAACGTCTCATATTAAACAGGTACTACACAATATGTATAATTGTCGCCTAGCTGTTATTTGTCTATTTATGGAAGTTTTTTGAAACTCGAATGCATTTAAAAAGTTTGAAAGAATAGTGAAACGTAAGTACGCCTACCACTGGCATAATTTTATTTTAGTTCATCTAAATATACATGCAACGTTCTTTCACAACATGGTCGTGGACCATGTATACGAAGACAGAACAGGTATCAGTTCAGCTCTTTCTGAGCCAGTCTTCTCACAGACGTCCTTTCTGTTGAACTCCTCGTCCTTTCCACTGCCGTCTCTCTCTTTCTTTCGCCACTACGTAGGAGTTTGTGTCTCCCGCAGATCGTTCCTGAAACGAACATCAGTCAAGCCAGGTGTCAGGCACCTGTGTCCCAGTGACAGTGACACGAATGCTCTATTTCCATGCTTGTTGGAAGACAAACGAGCCTTTTTTCCAGGGCGCCGTTTAGAAGCTTGTTTGTAAATCTCAGTTTTAGTTCACAGAGCGCGTATATTACTATACATTTTGCCCCTCTATTATTTACTCCTTGATGAAACAAAGTTATGGATTGTTTCTTAAAGTATCGATCACAATGGAAGCCCCTCCTCCACGATATATTTTGAATAAGGCAATAATAGAAAAGCATCAATAAAAAGGCCTCTTGAGCAGCGTTTCAGAACTCGAAAAGGGCATACTGTACTCGCCAGAATTATGACTGCGTACAAGTGGGTGCCACCGCAATTCGTGTTTGATAACTCTTGTAATATATTTTCCGAACACCACTCTCACATCAGGAATTCTACTTTCAAGTATTCAAGTATTTCTAATCGTATTTCTGAAGTATTTCTAATTTTCAAGTATTTCTAATCGAGCGAGTTTCTAGAAAATTTTCAATAGCGTGATAAAAAATGGTCGATTAATACGGCAGCGCTGTGTTATTTTCCAAAAACCTTATAATAAATGTCTCTGAATTATTGAATGAGAACGCACTGCCCTTTTCTTCCCACATCCGGATAAATAATTAGCATCTGTATAGTTTGATAGTAAACTAATCGTCCCTCAATTAGCAGCGTATTCGGAGCAAAAGAATGATTTTACTGAAGACCAATAAGGGCTACAAGAGAAGCGTAAGCACTCCAATCCACATTTGACCTATAGCTCAGAGAGAAGTGGTGCGACTGGGAAGGAATGGCCTTCTTCTCTAACAGTGGTCCGGTCCTAAAAAATGGCGCTGGTCATCGGAGCCCTCTATTGACTTCGTTTAAGAAAATATTTGCTCTATATTTTTTTTTTACGTTCACAAGAACCAACAAGACGTCCGCCGCGGTATGCCATTGTTAAGGTGCTTGGCTGCTGACCCAAAAACTTGCGGGTTGGATCACGCCCGCGGACGTTGCATTTCAATGGAGGCGAGATACTAGAGGCTTGTATGCTATGCGATGTCAGACCGCATTAAAAAACGCCAGATAGTCTAGATTTAAGGAGCCCTCCACAGCGGCCTATCTCATATTCACATGGTCGTTTTACGGTGTTAAACCCTAAATATTGTTATAACCAACGAGAAAAAGCAGGTGTCATCAGACACTATGAATCATAAAACAAATATCAAAATTGGTTGTTGTCGTCTTTTCATCTTTGTCCCCGTTTTCTTGCACTTTTTTTATTATGATCTAGAAATTCTTTCAACATTTTAATGTCACTTTTATGACTTTGGATACTGAATGTGTGATCCAAACAAAGTACAAGCGCGTTCTGTGCAGGAACAGTGCTGTAAGACATGACCAAACGAAGTCACATGGTGGTAGGCAGCCTGAAAAGTGAACAGTGCACTGAGAGTGTACACTGTCTTCATTGCCGGTGGAGCTATTTTGTGAAACATTCTAAGGCATTTGATATAAAATAAAAGCACGCGAGAAAACTGGGACAATTTCAGGATACTGATAAATATACGAGAGGTTTTCTCCGAAAATTCAGATCGGGGGTGGTGCAGTTCTTTCTTTAGAGCAATATGCATGCTAAAGACACGAGTGCAGTTGTAGATGAAGTATCTGGTAGAGTATTGAATTATTTTGCATTGCAGAGCCAGTGACGATGCAGACGCCGTCCATCGTTTACCGAAGTAGCAGGGTACAGAGCGACCCAGGCCAGCCCGTTGACTTACTCTGCGTCGCCGAAGGTTTTCCGGTTCCTGGTTACAGGTAGGCACTGTGCAGCACCATGCTATTGTCATAGAGCCAAGGCAGAAAAGTGTAGTTAAGTTACCAAAATATGGCATCAGTGTTAACGTTTTGTCGTATTGGGTTCATATTTACTCGGTCAATGTATTCTGTACGTTGAAGAATTGGATATCAAGAAGATCACTTGATCGTGTTAAAAATAATGTGTTTAAAAAGATCCGATTGTGTTTAAAACTCATAAAAAAGCACTCTCTAAAAAATATGCTACATCATCTTGTGTTTCCGTATGAATCAGGTATTTCTCGCGGCAAAATCTGCCGTGTTCATTGTGCTTTATGAATTGACACTGGTTGGCTGAACATGTAATAACACATCGCAGCTGCAATGCAGAAACGGCTCAGTGGCACTTTAAGAAACCCTCCGGTGGAAAGAAGGGGATCTTTGATCAGCAGCTCTCATGTAGCCACAGCTTTTTCTACACATTGAATGAACGAAATTGTCAAGTGTCTTCATACAGCCATTCAAATGCGCTGAAATGCCAGAGGTGGCTAAAGAGAAGTGATATTTTTGACGAACGCAGTGCGATAGTGTCCGTAAATTGTACTGAAAAAAAAAAGGACTAACAATTGTTCGCAGTAATCTGTTTGTATGTATTGATTCTTTTGAATTTGAATTCTTGTCGTCTTGGCTTTTTAATTCATGTCGAAGGGTTATCCGAAGCTGGGAAGAAAAGGAAGTTGCAACATTTTTGCAAATATAGATAGTCCTGAGAATAAAAAACCATAATGTAACCTTGGTTCAGAAGAACTCCATGGCGCAAATACCCTTCATTTTGACACCTGCTTCTCTATCTTGAGTTTTTTTGCTTGCTAAACGTTCTGAACAATGCACTAGCTTGATCATTCGAGCAAACTCATATGCGTACAACTTTTCGTTGCGAGCGATAAGACCAATTGTCAAATAGGGGACCAAATTTAATTTGGTGCCTTAAGAAAATGCGTTCGCACCGACGTTGTTCGTGCTTAAGCAATGAACTGGGGGCAATTCTTATTGCTTCTGAATTGATTACTCACCGAAGTTCCTCTCGATCATTCATATCTTCGCCTAATTCTCGACATGATTTTTCGCTGATGATGCTCAAAACTTCGTCTCTGTCGTCCTGCTGCAGCGAAGTTTGGCCAACCATGCAAGAAAGTTTAAGAAAAGCTTTGCTTCTTTTTTTTAGGTACTTCGTTCGAGCTCTTCCTTAGTCTTTATTTCTTCCAGGTAGAATATAGTGTAAAGAATGTTTCGTGATTATAACTTGGTTGGTAGTTTCATATTGTATATAGGCCCATATGAAAACATAAGTATTGATTTTATTTATTTCAGACATACTGCCGATACCAACGGGGATTTGCTCAGGAAGGGCATGCACATAATAAACATATACAAGAGTGTTCGATTCCCAACTAGCAATTTTGTGAATTAACGAGAAAGTTGCACGTAAAGTTTAACAAACACACTTTAAAAGTGAAAAAAAAATCGTGCAAAGGTTGCTATGCACGCGGCAGCAAAAAGACATCATAATGATAAAGGAAGGGTATACATAAGTAACGTGTGAATCACCGTTACGGAATGAAAATGATGTCATTGCATAACGCAAGATGGTATGGTTAGTACTATGCAAAGAGTTTATGTTTGAGAAACACATAGGCAGCTTTCAAGAAATGACAAAAAGTTATCTTTGTTATTAAAGGTAGCTATGTATGTAGGCAGACTAATACATAACTTGATGGCTTGTGGAAAAAACAAGAATTTAAAATAGTCAGTTTTGAGCCTGTATTCTTCAAGAAATTGAGCATGATTATGACAAGAAGGCCTAGTTTCTGAATAAGATAGGTATTTTTTCCTATCAATACGAAGTTTATTGTGAAAAAACTGAAACAGCATTTTCTGGTGGGCGATTTGGGCATGGTAACAGACCGCCAGTATTCCTGATTCTTGCATAAATGCGAAAGGGGAGTCACATGTACGATATTTACTAAAAATGAACTTGACTGCTTTCTTTAACACGTTTTCAAATTTATTTGTAATGTTTATTTTTGTAGATGGGAACCAAACGACGTTAGAGTACTCAAGCATTGGTCGGACAAATGTGTTATAGGCAAGTAGCTTCGTAGCGTGCGGTGCTGAATGGAAGTGGCTTCCTGTGAAGCCGTTTTCTTGAGCCGTGGTCCATGCTCACGGTGGTTCTTTTACTTGAAGCAGGGTTAAGAAAGCTGCAGTATGGTAGCGCACAAGAAAAGTCACGTTAGTTAAGTCTGTAGCGCTGCCAAAGCTACATAACACAAAAGTTAGGGCGGCTACGCATTACAGGTGCGAAGACGGAAAGCAGTAAAACTGGTGGCTTTGCTGTCTTCTTTTGTCTCCTCCTCAATGTCTTCTCAGACTTCCATGCCCTCACTACTCCTTGCTGTTCCCGTTACCTCTACCAGGTTAACCTCCCTGCGTTTTCTTTTTCATCTATATCTTTCTCTTCTACCCTCCCCATCTTTTCCTTCTCCCACACTCACACATCCTTCCCCACCTTTCTGCCATACCATAGTATATACATAAATTATGCTGTGTTTTCTTTCTCTGTTTCTTTATCTTTATTCGCTTTTTACTTCTGAAGCTTTCTCTTTGTTTGATTCCGTCGCTCTGTTTCTTTGTCTTTTTATCTCTCTTTCTCTCCTTTTCTCACGTTCATGCGCACACCCACTCAATCATAAGGTCCTTATGGATGCTTATTCTGCTAGCGGGCTGGTGTAGCCGAGTGGTTGACGCCGATTGGTTACGAGGGGTTTAAACCTGGCGAGATATTTTTGGCACAGTTAGTTATTTTCCTCCTCTTCCCGGTTCTCTCCTACTATCTTACTTATATCCTTTAAAATGTTACGACGTTGAGCGAGTTGGTATTGCATATTTAAAAGTGAACTGCAGCGTGGTAATAAGGACATAGAAAAGAACAGCAAACCGTGCTAGTGTCTCAGCGCTTGTGTTGTGTCTAGTTCTTTTCAATGCCCTTGTTATGACGCTGCAGTGTGCATTAAGGAAAAAAAAGTCACAGCTTTGCCGCAAAGGCGAAGCAATGAACGCGATAGCAACAAATTGGAAGGTCACGCGCAGCATGGCAAGCAGATCGAAACGCGCACCGCGTTTCTCACGCACAAAGGATGCACTAAACATACTCTCTACAGATTAACGCGAATAAGCGTCACAGTTGTTACTTCGCTGTGTCTGAACAGCGTGCTCTTTTTGCGAGTGGAGGCTGTGCAATGATTTCGGTGACCTTTCTGCGCCCGGTAACTACAACAAAATCGTTCCGACAAAACTCAAAAGCTATCAAAGACGTATGATTTTTCCTACTTCAAGATAAGGGCATGCGATCGAGTGTAAACATTCTTATTCTCTACGCGGGCCAAGGTACGCGTGAGAGATGAGATCAGCCGCTAAAACCCCTTGATCTTGGGCTTTATCCGCCGCGTGCTGACTGCGCCATCTTGCTGATAATGCTGAAAACATATAGTTCTCCCACGAGATGCCCGCTAACAGCGGTAAGGGGTAGATATGAATAGCTGGCCGTTTGAACGTCGGAGGAAGTACCTCTCGGTGGCTCAGTGGTTAACGCCTCGCATTCACGACGCGGTGGTCCCGCATTCGATTCCAAGTACCGGAGTCATTCTTCTAAGATTCTTAAAGAGGATAGTTTTTCTTGCGTGCGTTTTCATATATATATAAGTATACATATACGGTGCAAGACGTCGACGCCCACGCCAACGCCGGTGGCGAAATGCAGCCGAGAGGGTCCATTCAATTGATATCGCGATAAAATGTATCCTTCCTCCGACGCGTTGCTAAGCAACACGCAGTGACGTCTTCTCCAGGTGCAGTTTATCCAACGCCAACGGTCCAATCTGAAGCTTAAGCAGCTGCTTTCCTGCAGTGAGAAACTCGAACAGTCGTGCCATCTCTATTCCAGCTGGTACAAACGCAACGGACAACGGATGGTGCCTCTAGAGCCCAGCATGGACGTTCGGCAGGTCGCTGGCGTGCTGCACTTTCGCGAGGCGGAGGCTGACGATGCCGGCACATACGTCTGCCTCGCCTCTAACAGCGTTGGCGAAGCTCAGGTCGACCTAGAACTCGTCATCACTCGTGAGTATATGCTCTCTGTAAAAGCGGGCGCATTTGGACTGGCAGGTTCACAGTTGCTTAAAAACCAGCGCAAAAAGAGGTCAAATTACAGCGCCATAGTCTGTATCGTCCCTCGATTGACGTTTTTTTGCGCTGTCTCTTGAGCAAGTATACATATGTTCATCGTATATACCCAAGTGCGTGAGGATGCCTAGGCGACATGGCTGGTTCATAAATGGTGCCATTCTGGCGGCGCCTCAGAGTTTTTAGTGGATGACCGAAGAGCAGGAGACGCTAAAGAGCACTATAATGGTGACTTCACAAAAATTATGTTTGGCGTTCAGACAACTTTTTCGCCTACATTGAACCAGGTTTTTAGTAACTTGTCGTATGTATGTATGTATGTATGTATGTATGTATGTATGTATGTATGTATGTATGTATGTATGTATGTATGTATGTATGTATGTATGTATGTATGTATGTATGTATGTATGTATGTATTATGTATGTATGTATGTACACATACTACGTACGCACAGTACTCATGCATTGAAATTGGACACCAGGAACGCGTGGCCGCCAGCGTTGACAGCGCAGATCGTGGGTGCTCTTGGAACCAAAGTGTTCTAATGTGGTATAGATTGAGGGGAAAAACATGAGCTCGTGAGAGAAACAGACAGACCATAATCTCGGTATGAGGATCTTTGTGGTAGAGTTGCGATTGACGTGCACGATATGGTCACAATTGACGGTTTGTGCTTAATCTCGTATTGTTCTTCTTGTTTATTGCTCAGCTAAGCCTTGGGTGACAGTCACCCCAGCACACGTGAGGGCCGAAGTGGGACATGCTGCTGCATTCCGCTGCAACGCATCCGGCCTGGACTGGGGTGTACTGGACGAGACGAGCCTTGAATGGCGTCACAATGGCCGACGCCTGATGCCGTCCACTCAGCAAGGTGCCGGAATGGGCCGCTCCCGCGTTCTGCACCTTCCTTCGATCCGACGTCAGGACCAAGGGATGTACCAGTGCTTCGTCCGTTTGTCTCCCAAGCGGACTGTCCAAGCCGCCGCGGAGCTGATCGTTGGGGGTGAGAGTCGAGATTTTTCTTCTTCAACCGTCTACGAACATATTTACATGGTTTGCTGGTGTTCTTTTCTCGCTCTTTTTTCAATACGAACACGTAATTTTGCTTATTAAACTGAGAGCCCGACCTTTTTAGCAATTCTAATATGTTTTAGGGAATCGCAATGTCTTTGTTATGTATCACACTAATTATGGATGCGTTTTCGATCGGTACAAAGGTCGCACTTTGATGCCGCTTAGCTCAACCACTTCTTTGAGTGGTTCTAGAGCATTCGAGTAGAATACGTCTATGGAAAAGCCTATGAAATACGTCTCCCTCTCTCCATCTTTTAAACTCCTTTATCCCTGTACCCAGTGTGTGGTATCATACCAGTCGTTCTAGACTGGTTAACATGGCGGACTTTCCTCTCTCTCTCTCTCTCTCTTGTTCCCTATTTCTTCCCTATTTCTCTTTAAGGTTTTATTGAATATACCGACGGGTTATTTGTTAGCGCAGCAGATCACCTTCGACATAAAGTAAGCTAGAATTGAAACGGTGGAGAAATATTTGAAATAAGAATTCAGTTACACAGTGGAGTCCACTCTCTTACATCACTTCTAAGGTTGGACGTTGTACGCAAATTTTTTACATATATTTTTTCATTTTTTGTGCATATAACTGGCTACATTAACAAATCCTCAGTTTCCAGTCAGTCTCCGTCCTCGAGGTTTTTTTTTTTTTGCTTCATTCCGTACTTGCGCTCTTTATCTTTTCTTTAAAGAAAAGACAAAACATTGCGGTAAGATACCCTGAATGTCCGAACACAATGATCGCCCATAAAAACATGCCTCGCTAGCGGCTAGAAAAGCTGAAAAAAAAAGTCTTCAAATATCTAAGTAGGAAGGAGTAACTTAGCGGAAGAGTTATGTTATAGGGAAGGGAAAGACCGCGAGCTACGTTCTTTTCATCACGAAATAATTGTAGATATGCCTCTTATATTTACTTGCGTGTGTTATACGGAATCTATGCGGGTTATGAGCGCAAAAATAGTACTGAAACATTGAACAATGTCATGAAATACGCCTTGTCATTCTCAAGACTGGAACGCTAACAGGACGACAGTAAACTGAAGTCATCTATGTCTAAAAAAGAAAAAAAACTAATTTAACATTGTAGCGTATTCTTATTTATGGCAAGGAGTTCAATATCAAATGAGCCGACTCCAAGTCCAAAATAAAGTTTAAATGCGGGCGTTTATATTGTTCTTTCTGTTTCTTTACACTGTTCCGGCCATGGGGGCCCACCATAATAGAGAACAAAAAAGAAAAAGGCTAAAAAGAGAAATTAAAAAAAAGTTTGTTTTTATTTTCTATGGTTTACAATGTTTTACATTGTTTCTCCATAGTTTACAGGTACATGCTTTTGTATGATTGGCTACCTAATTGAATTCATTAAACATTTAGGCTTTACACAAAAATATTTAATAAGCATATCGCTATTGTGTTGCTCACATTGTACTACAGGCTTTCATCTGTGTGTTTGAATTGCACAATAGGTCCCGCAGTAACGTCGGAAACCGAGCAACAGTTAATGAAAAAGCTCGTTCAACCCGTATCACTGGGCAAGGGTTTCCCTTAGGTCTGGCGCCTTCGACCACTCGGCCATTCTGACACAGTTAATGAAAAAGCTACAGGCCACAAATGCTTTCATTATTTCCTAGCTAGGGTTTCTCCATAAAATTGTAATATAAAACTAAAGAACCTAATTTTTATATTAGGTAACTAAACGTTGATTACGTTTTTATATGACATATTTAAGGGGTTTTTGAACTTAACAAGCGCTGCGCGAAGAGCACAATGTGTGTATGTGGTAATAAAACTGATAATTGTTTTGTTTTTTTTTTTGGCCCGATACATATGTAAAACGGGCTCGTAGAACCACCAACTTCATTTTATTTTAGGAACCTGGTGATCAGTTGTTATATACTTGAGTAACAAGCAGATAGCCTCCTAAAAGACGCGAGAAACAATATAAACGAGGTATATGTATATTAGCATAGACGTATTAGAACACACATTTAAAGAAGCTACAAGTAGAAAAGCTTTGCCTTAACTTAAACACTCATCCATGGGTACCCAGTACATTTTTTACAGCTTACGCCTTAGAAAAAGAAAGACTTGAACTTAGTCTTTTGATGTCTACGTAGAGGTTTCTAAGATGGCGTGTAGCAACGGGTCTGTAGCAACTACGTAATGCATATCTAGTCAATTGTTCTGAAGAATGAGCGGCCACCATGATCTGTTTTGTCACGTCCTTGCTGACAAAAGGCATTTTCGAAAGTTCCGCGACGACGCTAGTGAAAATGGTATTTTGCTAGTGATAAGAGCTTAAAGGCACAATCAAAAATCCTTGAATGAATGAATAAACTTCAATAAATGCCCGGAAGTTTCTTCCAGGCGAGGGGGGGGAATCGCAGAAAAAAATGATTGCAAAAAAAATACTTTAAAAAAGAATGTTCGGTAATGGACTCACAGGGCCATCGGAAAAAGGAGTGTTGATAAGAGAGACTACTTAGTAAAGTCTTCGCTAGCCCGCGAATATTATCTCACTCTCAGCAATCGAATGCCGGCATAAGTGCTCTTCCAGCGCCCTTTAGCGGATCTATATGTGCTGTATCTTCGCGAATGATGCGGTCCCAAATACAGCGGAAGCCATTTGTTTTAGTTGAGGATTCATGCTTCCTTCTTAAGATGGTTAATAGCTGGCTCCGATTGCTACTCTTTCAAGCTCTCGACATATCCAACGCAAAGCGTTTGCCATTATTTTGCGAGGCTCTATCCTGATATGCGTTTTGCGACTGGAAGGGCGCTAATGAACGTATAGCGTGTCCAAAACTATCTTATTCAGCTTCGCTGAAGGGCCCGAGAAGACTATCTGAACTTATTTTGTTTTCTTTGCTTCAGTTTATTCCCCCATATATACGAGACAAACACTAAGCACTCGCGTAACAAGTTTAGCTGCCCATTAAATTAACTGCTAACATTTTTGTCTTTTTGTATATTATTAATGTTTCCAGTTTGCCGGTACACTAAAATGTATTTCTCTCTAACTTTGTTGTAGTAGCCTCTCATCCTTTACTTGAATATAATCCTAACATCTCCTCTGTAGGAAATAATTAGTGATAAATTGTTTTTACAAATCTGAATGGTAATGACAAATTTACAGAATGCTCCTAACGAAACAAAATGTCGTGGTGGCTCTGCGTGTAGACACTAACGTAAAAGGTTTGTTTAGAAAGTTCCTTCACGAGAGTAATTTCTCTGCGAGAAGAATTGTAATGTTGCCGAAATTCATGCCGAATATGACCGACTACTTTCTAACTTCTCTGATTTCGTTCTCAACGTTTGCAAATGCGACTGCTCTTAAGTTTCGCTTGTTGATTAGAATGGAGGAAGGGGAAATGTTTCACAAACAAATTAATATTACTTTTGTACTATGGCACGCTATATGGTTTGAAATTGCGATCTCTTCTCGTATCACCTGTAATACACAATTCAGCTTTTCATTGTTGCCCCAAGCAGAAATACCGTTATCTTCGACGCCTCCATCACGTGCGATCTAGTTCTCTAATTTCATCTGAGTAATTCTTTTCACCTTTTAAAAACATTTGTAGTGAGACATGCTATAGGTCTTTATTTCATTATCTTGTTAGTCTCAAACAATCAAGAGGGTGACTGTCGTATTACTGATGAGCCGCATTTTTTATTGAGCTCTTCTAGTTTTCTTCCTTAATACTATTTCAGCCCTCACAGCACCAGTTGCTTTAGGCTATCTATCTATCTATCTATCTATCTATCTATCTATCTATCTATCTATCTATCTATCTATCTATCTATCTATCTATCTATCTATCTATCTATCTATCTATCTATCTATCTATCTATCTATCTATGTTCAGTGTGTTCAGTGTGCATTATGTGCACTGTCATCTTCTTTCCCTCTCTCTTTCCATTGTTCAGATCAAGCACCGAAGCTCAAATCAGCCTTTGAAGAAACGACGGTACGCCCAGGAAAGCCCGTGTCGCTACGTTGCGTTGCGTCGGGGGACCCGCCTCCACGCATTACGTGGCTTCTAGACGGTGTGTGGCCTATCGATACCAGACACGGCCGCGTTCGGGTGCGAACCATTGGAGCGGAAGCTGGTGCTGGCCTGAGCGGCGCCGAGGTCTCCAGCACGCTGTCTATCTCTTCGGCCGAGGTCCAAGACGGTGGATCGTACTCGTGCGAGGCGTCAAACTATGCAGGCGCCGCCTCGCATTCGGCTCGTGTCAACGTGTACGGATCAATCTACGTGCGAGCTCTGGGCAACCTGTCAGCGCTGGCTGCAGCCACTTTCTCTGTGCAGTGTCCATTCGGTGGTTACCCCTTTGGACACGTCTACTGGGAGAAAGGTGAAAGCAATTTGGATGTCGTCTCCCTTGTGTTAGCAGTACGCTGTGTTTAGAAAAGGTGTTTAAGAACTTCTTGTTCCCTTCCCTAATCCCGCAGTGTAGGGTAGCCAACCGGATGTCTTTCTGGTTAACCTCCATGCCTTCTCCCTTTTGTTGCTTCCTCCTCCTCAAGTACTTCGTACTCGAGTATGAGAGAGCAGTGTGTCGTCTCGATTAAAGGTGAATTGTAATGGTTTACTGAAGATTTATTGGAAACAGATATATGTGTTCACCAATATTCTTTTTTGATAACTACCTTGTGTGTTTAGAAAAAGTGGTTAGTAATTTAGAGTACTCCGTACTCTATTATGGCAGAGCTGAAAGCCGTCCTTTATATAGCCTTCACACTTGATGAGGCCGCATCAAAAAAAATTGTGTAGTTAGAAAAATTCATTCTCACGAACAGTGAACATCAATTACAATTCAACAGAACATCGCGACGGAACACAATATGCACAGACACACCAGCAATTGTCACAAAAAGATATTTTACGTATGTATGCATTGCAAGGTAAACGAAGAACACAAAACTTAAACGTACTACGTATATGTTGCGTACTTACATGTCATTTACATGGTATTTGTGCCAGTACTTAATAAACATTAAACATTGTTTACAAAATGTTGTTAACGCTTGATAGTACTTGGTACTCTACTATGCGAGAGCGAACAGCTGTCCCGTGGGCCTCACACTACATGAGGCTGAGTTAGCAGTAGTGACCATAGAAGCCGGTGAACCTACGCACAATCCGAGAAACCACAATTCACAGTTAAAACAATACTTCTTCCAACGTTTATTTTTTATACTGTGACTTTCGGCCTGCAATGCGTCACGGGGTTGTTAGAATGCGTGCACAACGTGCTTGCAGCGTATACTATAGCAGAAAAAGTTAAGATGGTTTACAATAGACTGACACGGCAGTCATCTCCGGCAATTCATCATCTTTGACTCCATATATCTGAAATCATACTTTTGGGGGTAAGTTCTGCATAATATTGCGTGTTGGTGTTCTTAAAAAAACAAACAATATCTTATAGCAAGTGAAAAGTTGTGGACCATCTCACCCGAAGGGAACCCTCATGGGATGCGAAGCAGTGCGGCCGGTGTTCAACCGGTTGAAACGAGCGTCGACGTGGTGCTGGAAGAATAGTGAAACGAAACTCGGTGTAGTGTTTACACGAATCGACGTTTACACGTATCGTTTACATGAATCGGCGCCCTGGGTTTGCTTTAGGTTTCATCGCAGATAAACGAGCCGGAAAGAGTGTTTCCACACGACATGTGGTCTAGCGTTGCGGGTGGTGGAGAAGATGAAGCGAGAGAAAACTGTGTTGAGAGCACTGTACCACCATGGCACCATGGTTTAGAGCGAAGGGAGGAGCCGGCAGCTGCCGGCGCTGCGGCGGCGGGGCTATGGGTGAGGGAGAGAATGACGCCGGCGCACGTGCGAGGGAAGTGTGTGTGTGAAGCGTAACTTCAACGCGCGGCCTCGGGGTGACCAACTTGGCACTGCTCCGAAACCTGCGGCAACGAGAATGTGGTGCCGCGCGTCCGTACGGGCGCACGTGCTTACGTCGTCACACACGTGAGTCAAAGAGCTGCTTCGCATCTAAACTTATGGCAACAAAATTTCAACGTAGCTTCTTTACCTTTCGTAGCGCCTAGAGTTAACACGCATCCGTTTAGTGTGGCAACGAAGAATAACGAGACATTCTAGCAGGTAAGTAACTTATCGGAGCAATCAACGTTGATGTTACTGCTGACCTAGTCAATGCGAAACCTCGTATTCTTAAAAATGGTAATACCATATTTGGATACCGTGTTTTGTCCCACGTGGTGGTACAGTGGCTAAGGTACTCGCCTGCTGACCTGTAGGTCACAGGATCGAAATCCGGCTTCTGAGGCTGCATTTTCGATAAAGGCGTGAACGCTGTAGGCCTGTGGGCTGAGATTTGGGTTCACGTTATTGAATCCCTGGTGGTGAAAATTGGAGGTGCCCTACTCTACAGTGTCTCTGATATACATATGGTGGTTTGTGACGTTTAACCCCACATATTATTGAATCAGTGGATATCGTGTTTCTTTAGAAAAAGTGTGATATATGCTTTTTATTATAGGTAAATGCTTTGTGCAATAAACAACGCTAGAAGAGTATTACACATATTTTAACATTCACGGTAGAAGAGCATTACACATATTTTAACATTATTCTTCAGTTTTATTGCCGGTAAATTACGCGCCAGATCTGTGGAGGATATCAATGGGGTTCGATTAGAATTATCTTTCATGCCGTTATGGATGTGGCGTCAACCATCGTAAATTTTAGAGTGCCTGAAAACCCGTTATTTAAGAGAAACTATGTTGTCAGCCGCAATCTATTATAATAAAAATATACTCGTAACTGCAGTTGCACATTCCGATCAACTTTATAGTTTCGACCAATTCACCGAAACGTAGTCACCGATATCACGCATATTTTAACAATGTTCCTTAGTTTTATTGCCCGGTATATTTCACGTTAGATCTGCGGCGGATATCAAGGAGGTTCCATTAGAATTATCTTTCATGCAGATATGGTTGTGGTAGAAACCATCGTAAATTCTAGAGTGCCTGGAAGCCCGCTATTTAAGAGAAGCTATGATATCAACCGTATTCGATTATAATAAATATTATACGCATGATTTCAGTTGCACTTTCCAATTAGTTGGATAGTTTCGACTAGACCACCTAAACACACTTGGCTTTCTGTGGACACTCTTGGGAGCTTTTCGCCGTTGACATTGACGTCATGTTCCGAATAACGCTCAAAGCGACATCACCAGGTGCGCAGTATGTTCTATGTCGAAGTTAAATTGTGCAAGGGCTGGCCTTGGTGGCTGCTTGAGCAGAGAGGAAATGCTCTGCCCCGTCCTCCACTGCGCGAAAGGCGAATATAGGTACAGGACCTAGAGAAGGAGAGTGGGGGGTGGCTAGTTGCCTGCATGATAAAATGCTTGTTTTGCTTTACCGAGCGTGGTAACCCACGGTCACTAGCAGGTGCACATGTTTTATGGAGCAGATATGTAGCTGCCTCCTAGCTTTGTACTTGTGCTTCCATAACAATGGTTGTGTTGAAGCTGTAGACAGCCCAAACTTCACTTCCACCCGCTGTAGCGCCCGCAGTTTCCGGAAGATGTGACCAAGCATGCTTTGTTGATCATTTCAACTTGTTTCATTGCATTTCCTGCTTGGCCCGTGCGGTGAAATTCCCTTTCTGCACTACATTGCTACTTCTTACCCTCTCTTATTCCGGCATATATCCCACAGCTTAAAACAACTTTCTCGCATTGTTTTTTCTCTTTTATACTATTGTGAAAATTGCACAGATGGACGAAGACTTCCCCTAAACCAGCGCCAGACGGTATTCCCCAACGGAACGCTACAGATACAAGGAACTGATCGTGAGCACGACCAGGGCCAGTATACGTGCACCGTACATGGACCAGACTCACAGATCATTCACCGGACCATCTCACTGCACGTACGGAGTAAGTCTCATAGTATTGTTCAAGAAAAGAAAAGAGCTTTTAACTAAACCCCTTGGAAAAGGACCCATAAATGAGGCATACTGCTTAGCGCACCTGCTTATCAAATGTGAAAATTTTAAAGGGTTTTCATGTTCAAGTGTTATCTGTAAGATAAGATAAAGTTTCACACCGCCACTTAAACCAATGCACAAAACTGTCCTCGTGCGTGACAAGCTGATTACCTAAACTTGCTTATGTTTAGTTTCGTCCTCTTTTCGTCCTGCATATACGACAGACGTCTTTTTAAAACCTCTCGTTTTGTGTCATGAAATATGAGTAATCAGGAATTAGGTAATAGTGAGGAAAAAGGAAGAAAATGGTTGGGTCGCTTATCCAATGTTGTGAAAAAGGTCGTGCGTGCAAAGCCTTGTGAGAACAGTTAGTTTCTCGCGACGATCAAGCGCCTTACGTGAGTTTTATTGATGGTTACAACTGGAACACTCTAAAGCTTCAGATATTCCACGCACAAAATCTATGGGGCACTAATACTGCATAGTGACATTCGAGTTGAATACGAAACAAAATTAGGAAAAATCACTACCCCAGCAAACCGTTTGCAACTTTCACCACTCCAGCAAACCGTATCCAACTTTCTCTGTAAAATGAAAGTCGGTATGAAATGCAATATCGAATATCAAAAATATGTTTTCACAAGCTCTATTACGACTAGTTATAGTAAAAGCACTGTAGCTGCTCCGGAAATTTGGCAGGCAGTTTTTTTTAATAAACTGCGATATAGCTTTTCTCTGAGAACGTGATAAATGCACTAGTAGGTATACGAGTATGCCTCCACCGGCAGCAGCAGTGATGTGTTAACTGGCGCACAAAATTTACATTCCTCAAATTCTCAGTGATACTAAATCGTGGACATTCAATATGATTTGTTTGTTTAGTAAATGTGTTTTTACTTGTGTAAGTTCCTTAGCGTCAGTATCTCGCAAAGGTATCCACAAAATTATAACTTCGGTGTGAATTTCTATGCTTAGCCACGCTTATTTCATCATGTCGAGTGCGCCAGCATATCTGCCTGAAAAGTGTAGTAAACGAATATTCAAATATGTCTAAAGAAAATGACAAGTTGCGTCGCTATCACTTGTCGAACAGACCATATGTCGAAACACTTGTGTAAGACACACGAAAGACACTTAGAATTGTCAAGGTTTTGTGGGGTCGTTCACTTGCTCCACTTTTTAAGTGGCTGAGAGACGGTCGCACAGACTGATCGTAAGGAAAAATGACTTGTTACAAAACTGTTCAAACGTGAACGGCGCATATCGAGATATTCGCGGCTCACATTACGGCTTCGAGCACATCGTCCGCGAAAGTTCTTGCTCAACTTGGCTGTATCTTCCAGACACGTTTTGCGAGCGTAAACCTCTCGGCCCCCATATGCACTTTGTGAAGCAGCTGCTGCCCTGGCTGTACTGTAGTCGCGGTGCGTGCCGCATGGTGACGCGGAAGCCCCTTGCCCAAACATCACGAGAAGCTTCTCGCATCGGCACCATCCACGCTTTTCTTACCTCGCTCTATTTCGTTCCACATTTTTTTTTCACAGAATAAGCGCAATCTCAATAATGTCGACACATATATAAACGTACAGGGATTCCAACGTCTTCAGCAGGCAAAGTGAGAGGACATTGTTCTAGGCACTTAAAGCAGTTGGTCAGTGCTTCATTTTAGAGAAACCTTTCGCCCCCTCTCTCTTTGTGCTTTCTTGAAGTATCCATACTCCTTCGACAGAGATTTTTTTTCTTCTCAATTTACTGGTGGAAGTAACCGTGACAGTCACTCGAGAGTGTCCAGGTAAGAAACATCAGCGACAGGCAATATTGAGAATGTCACCTTACGTCTATCGCCTACATTTGGGAGCGAAGAGATTAAGATTTGTGCCGTTCGTATGACAGCACTTGCCGAAAAACAGCCTGCCTCTTTGGATTACACGCGCAGCCTTGTTGGTCTTAGGGGGCAATATTAAGAAGGCCATACCTACGCGACGAGGTGGATTTGTGCTTTTGCATAACAACCCCAATTCAATATTTTCTCACACTAAGAAACCACAAAATGTTCATATAATTTAAATGCCCCATGAGAACACACAAATGCCTGGACGCCACCAAAATAAAAAAAGAACACCACTTTCACAGATACGATGAAATGCAAGCCCGAGCAGGAATATTGAACTGAATAGTACTATTCAAAACATCGGAATATATGTAAAAAAATTGAAGGCACAAGTTATCGTGAATACACTAGATAAAAAAGCTACAGCTTGACATTTTCTTTACGAGTTGAGGAAAATTGAAAGTAAAGCCTTTGCGGTGCCTCCGTAGTTATGGTACCTGGCTGCTGACACGAAAGTCACATATTCATACAGCACGGAACTGACCGCGTAATTAGATGGAGTAAAAGCTCGAGAGGCTCTTGAATTGTGCTAGGTGGGTATATGTCTAAAATTCTCAGTTAGTCTAAACAAATCTGGGTCAGCTGTACTTCAGTGTCTGTCATAGCGTGAGTCGCTTTGGGAGGTTAAACCTCACATACTAACCCACAATTTCCATAATAAAATGAGGATGGCAGTCGCCATTTGTATGTCTACTAACTCGTCCCTAATTGTAATTCGTAATTTTGCGCCCCGCCGCGGTGGTCTAGTGGCTAAGCTACTCGGCTGCTCATCCGCAGGTCGCGGGATCGAATCCCGGCTGCGGCGGCAGCGTTTCTGATGGAGGCGCAAAATTTCATAGGCCTGTGTGCTCAGATTTGGTTGCACATTAAAAAAACCTGGGTGGACGAAATTTCCGGAGCCCTCTACTGCAGCGTCTCTCATATTCATATGAGAGTTTTGGGATGTTAAGCCCCACATATCAATCATTGGTAATTTTGCACTGTGCACATTTGCAATTGCTTTGCCAACTGATGACTTTTACAATTGGCATCGCTCAGGAATAAATGAATCATCATTATTTGTTTTTCTTGCAGGCGGGCCGCAGATCACGCCCTTCACTTTCCAGGCGAACTTGCACGAAGGCGTGCGCGCTGGACTAACGTGTTTAGTGCACGCCGGAGACCCTCCTATCCACCTGGAGTGGTTGCGTGACGGCAAGCCGCTCGCGCCTGGCGCTCATCCCGACGTATCCATCATGACCGACGAGGGTGGCTTCGTGTCGACACTGACTCTGAAGCGTCTCTCGTCACGACAGAATGGCAACTACACTTGCAGGGCCACAAACCAGTACGCATCCGCCGAGCATTCCGCCGAGCTGCTCGTAAAAGGCGAGTGTGCCGTTCCGTTATACTAATGGCTGTGAATGCCCTGTAAACTAGTCCCTCCTTAGTATTAATCTTTATTTTTCTAATAGCTAGAAGTTTTAAACTACACAATTGCATGATACGTTTCTTCGAGTATTCATCAACTAACTTTGAAGTCTAGTATCTTAACTATACTGTTCTTCGAAGAAATATTGAGCGCTAAGTGTGCATAAGCAAAATTTTACTGTAAGCAAACTAGGATAAATATGCTGTCATATATTGACATTAGCACGCAACCAGAGGCGTAGGCAATTTTTTTTGGCGGGATGAAAATGCATTTTTGTTTTGAATTTTAGGAATTAGGGTTTGGGCAGATTGATGAGTCGAGCTTGATGAACCACGTGTCTGGCTCGCAGTGCCCCCTACGTGGACCATGGAGCCAAACGACACCACAGCCGTGTCTGGGCGTTCGGTCTACGTTGACTGTCAGGCTAGCGGCGTGCCTCAGCCTCACATCCGCTGGAAGAGCGCTTCAGGTAATCAGGCCCCGAAGCTCTGAACGCTTCTTTCTATCTCGAAAATAAAGAGTCGCTATTACTTTTTTTAAGCTTCTATATGAGCACCGTCAAAGCATGGATCTTTTTTTACCACCTGCTTCGTCTTTTCAAAAAAAGTTTGTCACTCGCCTTGTCTCCTCACCGAAAATGGTGTGACTTGAGGCGCGGTATTTTTTATCAGCAGCCTTGTCCACCTTTGTGATGTAGCGGTTGCGGAGCCAAATCACTGAACCGAAGGCCGTGGGTTCTGATCCTGGTCGCGGCGGTTGCCTTTCGATCTAGGCGAAATGCTAAAAGTCCGCGTACTGTGTGACATCAGCGCACGTTAAACAACACCAGATAATCTGCATTGCCGGTGCCCTTCACTACTGCATGCGTCATTATGATACTGTAGTTTACGCACGCCGGATCTCGGATGTCAGTATTAATCAGCAATATCAGCGGAGGCTTCATCATACGGATCAATACGCGGAGAACGTCAAAGTGACAACACCTGGAATCTAATTTTCAAAGACGGAAATTGGCGTGATTAAAATACAGTTTTATTTCACTACCCAACGGAATTTCTCGTCAGCTTAATTTGCCGAAGTTTTCACGTGGGTTCTGCCACCGAATGACTGGTAATCATGAGACCCTGGTTCCGCTAACTATTTTTTCTGAGCTGAACGTAAAGCTACAATGTCATAAAGCGGCCACCGCGAGGGAGAAGGCTGACTGACGAGTCGATGAGTTACGTATTTTTCACCAAGGTAGATATTATCGCGGGCTAATTGTTATACGAGGTTCACCAATGTGCGAGGATGCGCCAAGGCCTACGCTCGCTTGCCCTAGAGTTTCATCTATTTCGAATCACCGAGGATTCTGCAAGTCATTAAGGTGGAATGCCGAAATTGTGGGACGAACATCGCCACGCACACCGGCCGCGATTACAACGTTAGGCGTTTAATTTTCTCGCTACCTCACACCCCGGTTCAGTCAACATGACGCCACATTCTTTCTCTATTTGTTAGGTAAACATATTGGGTCATTTGCAGCTTGAAAATACGTTAAAATACATGAAAAAGTAATCACCCCATGCTGAGACCAGATTGCTTGCTATAACAATGACAACTAACGCTTGCGAAAACTACATCACACGGTGCTTTTCACGGACGCATGCCACGTGTGATTACACGGTATCTCATCGTGGAAGTCTCTGTGCGAGTTCTCGGTGAATACCGTGTTTGCAGAGGCGACAAGGGCGAAGCGAAACGGAGATACGTTCAAGTGTTCACCGCAGGAGCAGGAAGTATGCAGCGACTTCTTCTGGAGCCATCTTCTTCTCTCGCCCAGCAAATCGCACACTGTGAAACGCGTTCACGCGCGCGTGTGCGCGAACATCTGAGAATGGCATTTTGAATTTACCTGACTTCGGGCTCGTTAATTCTTCCTCTTCTAGCCCGCTGAACTCGCTCCTGCCGAAGATTGCACTCGCTCTTCGTGATTCTGTTTCGCAAAGAGAACGTTGCTTCAAAGCTCGGCAGTTTTGTGCATTTCATTTACTCAGCTAATGATTTCTCGGTGCTGCGTTACCGCGGCATGAATTTCTGTTCCATTTCGTTTCGAAGAACATAGAAAGGTGAAGACTTGAATGTACATATTCGACAGAAGTCTGTCTGGTTGGGTATGAAACGTCGGGTTTCTTCAAAACTTTTGGTTGGAGTCTAAATCATCTCCGAAAGGTGAAGGCGTATTGCAAAGTTTTTTTTTTTTTTTTGCGAATAAATTTTTTGAGCCACGTGCTCGAAGAAATTAGTCTGGTTTGAGAATAACGTAATGATTCAAAATTCCAAATAAAAGAGGTGCTTGTTTGACTGAAGGATGTTGTACTGACTGTATCTCGAATATATTTACCATGAAGTGTCCAACGTTTGTTCGTTGCCTTATGCGGTCCAAAAGGAGCCAAAATTGATAAAAGAAGAGAAAGTGTAGACCTTGCATTGCCTTATGTTTAAACTTGTTTTTGTAATTTAGCTGATCACTTGAGCTATTAAAAAAACCTCCCCGATTTCTCTCCGCGTTTCCTACTTATTACATGTAAATGTAATTTAGACGACAAGGACTCATTATTTATAGGGCAGCGGACGTTCTGGTTCAGTGACTTAGACACCTGTCCAACAATGTGAACAGTTGGCATTATACCTGTGGCTGCCATCGATGGACCACAATATGACAATTTGATTCTACGTTATTGTCGAATTTCATTAATTTTACCTTTCGTGTTGATTTCTCGTGGTTGATTATATAAGCCCTCTTGAATTGGATGCTCACCATAGTTATGAAGGACGCCAGTGGCTTCAGAGTTTTGTTTAAATTACTTCACCTACTCGAAAACACGGCGTGCGAGATAAGTGTTGGGTAATTAGCCAATTGAAATGACACCACAAATGATGGGTAGTTTGCACCGCTGCATTTAAAATAGTTAAGCATTACATTGAAGCCGTAACACGCTGAAGTTGTGACTAATACAGCCCATTCACAGTTCAAAAGTCAGTCACAAGTAAGCCCATTCACAAGTCAGGAAACGGGTACAAAAGTACAGTGAAAATATTTACTCAAAATGTATACGTGAAAAAACGGACACAAACTTATGATTTAGGAACACTGCTATAACCTAAGTACAGTTTTAACATACGGCTTCCATGATGGATCTGTGGTTTTGGCTCTGGGCTGCTCACCCGAAAGACATAGTTTAGACCCCGACCGTCGCGGTCCCTCCTGACGGGGATGAAATGCTCGAAGGCCCTGGACTAAAGATCGGAGGGAATGGTAACACTCCGGACCCTTCTACTACGGCATGTTTCACAGCCCGACTCACTCTAGAATGATAAACCCCATAAAGTAACCACTCATATTATATGAGCGCTAATGAAGAATATTCGTAGAAGAAAAGTAGGGTCAGATGGCGAAGTAAGATTACAGGCGCCAGCAGAACTTGTTGCTTGGTTTGTTGGTCCATAATTTCTCAGGTGTTCTTTTCTTGCGCCTGGTGGAGCTTAGGCACCCAAGTTTTCTCAATACCGAGCTTTTGATTGATGATTGTGCTTGTAAAAGTTTATCGAACTGTTCTAAAAAGTACGTCCTTTTCATCGAACGGTCTTGCAGAAGCATAAAGCATACCTTATGTTCTACACAAGTCGATATTTAACCATAGAGTTGCTGTAAAACGGTAAATGCCAAAAGGTAAGCTGTCCGCTTCTTCGCTGTAGGATGCCCCTTGGAAACATTTTGCGCCAGTGTACCTACACAGCAAGTGTAAAAAAAAAAGCAAACTGTGGCAGAAGCAATTAAAAACTCAGTAAAAGACGAAGTAAAACAAAAAAAAGAAAGTTATGAAAGCTTGTTAAAATTTAGCAAACCTCTCAAAATAAATCACACGTGCCTCTTTTATTCAACGTTCCCCCGCCTGCCAATTTCACAATGTTGCCCGGCAGGCTAAAGGTAAACCACCAGCGCATGATGGACGGTGCACATTCTCGACTAGTTTCCTTTTTTGCCTCAGAAGATTTATATATATAAAACAAACGATTCACTATGTACGCCTCATTTTTTATAAAGTAATTAGAACCTTCTTCAATAAACGCTGTCTTTCTCTTATTCTTTTTGTTTACACTTACAAGACCATAACTCATGAAGCCCGTGTTCACGCAGTATTCTGTTTGAAAGATTAATAGCACGTTACTAACTTTTTAGACCTACCCTTTCATGCCTGGTTGATTTTTCTTTACCAGTTATGAAAACGTTAAATTAAACCAAGAAATGCTGGGCAACAAAGAGATAAAGCCACAGCTGGCTTCTGAATTAATCATTGATTGTCGGCTCGAACTCAATGGTTTTCAGATGATCTCTTATCGGTCTTGTGACTAGTCCGCTTAGGTTTTGCCAATAAGAGTGCGAGCAGCTATAGCATAGTAGTGTCAATGGTGATTCGCAGCAGATCGAAAACAATGACACAGATTCTTCAGCTTGGACTCACTTAGCTAATTAAGAGCTGAGTCAGTTAAAAAACCTGGAGACAACTTAAATCTTTAATTTGAGTGTCACATAGAGGAATTCACTCGTCGTCTTCTGCATTGCTTGGTGCATTTCATTCAATACTTTGCGTTTCCAAGTGCTGTCGAAGTAGAATTAAAAGCCTCGTAAAAAAGGAGCATGTGGCCGAGATCTGCTCTACCAAGCTGCCCCGATCGTCCGAGATGCTCCCAAGATAACCACTCATTCCTTGAAATTAAGACATTCATTATCTAAATCAATTTTATATGATTGGTTCTTATCATATATGAATTGTTTCCATGACGTTCAGATGCATTCGTTATAACTGTAACGGTTTTTTTAAGTTTCTGAGAGCGACCCGACTTCGTTGAACGATTGGCACACTCCTGTGTCTTTGTGTTTCTGTCTCCCTTCCTACCTGTTTTATTTCTTTCTTCTGCACCTTTCTGTCTCCCCTTTTCCGGTGTAGGGTAACCAACCAGGTTATCTTCCAGTTAACGTCCATGCATTTCCACATCCAATCTCTCTTACACTTAACTTGAATGGATACTATAAATTTCGGGTAGTCTTACGTTTTAAAGCATGTATTTTAATAAATGAAAACCGAGAACTCAGGGCCTGAACGAAGTGCTTGGAAGAGAAACAACGTCGTCACTGATTGCTCATGCCACTAAAAAAAGATTTCATGTTGAACATGTCGTCTTTATTTTTCTTTTTTTTTTCGCAGAGCCAGATAGTCCAGCGTCTCAGTTCCGCACGATAATCAGCAACTCGCACATTCATATACTTGTCAATGGAACACTCAGCATTCGCAGCGTCGAACCCGGGGACGCTGGGCTCTACCTGTGCGAAGCTTCAAATGGTGTTGGATCAGGCATCAGCCGTGTTCTCCAACTCACCGTCCGCAGTAAGTAGCATACCGAGAAGAGGTCTTGAGACGCGAAACCATTCTTTAATTCAAACTCAACTAGCCTCCTCTCTTAAAAAAAACTTAATTCGCAATGTATCTGCGTGACTCTCTGCCAACTTTGTTGAAAACGATAGTCTTCTGTCAGCCATTTTATATTTCTGTCAGCTGTTTTATAGCGTCACATTTTCAGCACTGCGTAAAAAACACCAGTGATTATAGAATTACGCATCTATGTATTTTCTAGTGCAGGAACACACCACCTGACACTTACGTATTGATGTTGCGTCTCAGATATGCGTACTATTAGCCTTTTGATCGACTATGTTCAGAAATATGAACGCAGCCACCGGTTCAAGATGGCTGGGCGCTGAGCAAGTGCTTAAAGAATGGTCCGGTGGCTGAACCGTTTCGTGTGACAGACAGATAGGCAGACAAACAGACATACCAAATTGTTTTGTTCAAGTATCTCAGGAAGGACTGCCGTCTTGAAAAATGTTTCGGCAGATGCAGACCGGTGCTGGGCCATATGCTCTAGCGCAACAGCTATGTTTTGATACAATACTGCGGCAAAACCTTCCTTATGCAAATTAACGTGCACGTGTTTCAGAAATACCCACGAATGCTCGTTTAAAGACTGAAATGTCACGCGGATGATCACGAGGACGTGGGTTTGATTCCTGGCCACATCGATCGCATGTGATGAAACGAAGCGCCAATACCACCCAGTGCATTAATGCATGTAAGATTAACAAAATTGGTCTAAATTATTCGAAGTATCCCGCTAAAGCATAATTTATAATTATAGTAGAGCCATTTCGCAAATGAATGGCATGGTCAGATTCTTGTTTTACTCGACATGGCCACTTTATTAATTAACGCAAATGACCTTAAAAAGTCACAACATTGGCTTTTTAGTGGCTAAGCAACATATGTGGCATAACAAAGGCCTGTTTCTCGTTCAATGCGTTAAGGCTTCTTTTTATGCGCTAAACTTCTTAGTAGCGCTTTTGTCGACATCTGCCTCCATTACTAGGTGCGCCTCGGTTTGCAAGCAAGTTTACTACGGTGTCGGTGCGGCGAGGGGAAGGCGCCGAGGTTACTTGTCCAGCGCAGGGAGACTCACCGATACGCTTTCACTGGCTCAAAAACAATCTGCCACTTAATGTGCTGAAAGACCACAGGTAAGCATCGTTTCCTACTACAAACGTATTACATATTTATGCCCATATAATATCCTGAAGACTCTACAGAGTCATTCTACAGATTCTACAGAGTGAATAAATTTCATTTTGTTGAGAATAACCCTGCTTTTTCGAAATTCCAAGTGGGGCTCTCAAGACCACACCTCGTTTGCGTTTTTTTTTTTTGACGTCATTCTAGGTACTCTAGGGTTGAAGACCGAAGTGGTGACGTCACCACGTCTAAAATTACCGTTCAGCATGCAGAGAGATCTGACAACGGCGTCTTCACGTGTCAAGCAGCCAACGAGTTTGGCGAAGACTCGACAAGTGTCCAGCTCACCGTGCAAGGTAACGTCGCTTCACAACATAATCATCCAATTATTGTTTGTTATAACATAAGAGAACAGGCAAGTCGTGCCATGCAGCTTTATTCCCCTAGCATCAAACCACGCATACAATCTGTTTTTCGTGTATTTCTCACGTGGGTAAATAAATAAACTCAAACGCAAACCTTAGAGATTGCATTGCGAATGCCGGCGTGGTTGTCCATTTCGTTAATTTATTGAAGTAGACATAATCGACTGGATAGTTTATTGCAATGATATTTCCTGATGCAGGCATTAGGGTGTTGTTATTTGTAGTAAATATCACCTTAACGAGGCAAACAATTAGGTAATGAATATAAGAACCTACACCAGCTGAACTATTACAAGTATCAAAGAAGCCAGGTTGCCGAGAGAGGAGAAGGGTAGAGGAATGCATTCAATACATCTGTGGAATTACAATATACAACAGAGTCCATCTGATGCAAGGTAAAGGTTTTTCTTGTGAGCACGTGAAGGGTAATTTGATTTCCAAGTTACAATGTGAACACTCCCACTAGAATTGATCTTGCTACGCGCTCAACAATAATTAAATCTCAGAATGCCATGAGTATTTGTACTGAGCACTCAAGATTTTCTGACTTTGAAAATTATAGTTCAAAAATGTATAGAGCAAACTAGGCTTACGACAGGCTAAAAAGTTAATGAAAGCAAAAACATTGCTTGCACATGCAATATCTCCTACATAGCTATCTAGAAATGTATAAAACACACACCACGTGCGAAGTTGAGTTATTTAGTGAATTTTCATATTATTCGTTTTTCAGTTTTTTTGTAAGAGAAATTTTGTAAGTTCGGTGTTTGCATTGAACATACGTGCACTTAATGTTCTTTCCAGGTGAAGAGATGAAAAAATTTTGAAGACATGTATATTGACCCCTTTGTTGGAACTTTCTTTTCATTCTTCATTTTAAGACGCGTTGGGCCATGGGATTTGGCGCTCCCCGCTTTATAAAACATCTACCTGCCACGTAATTGGTGACAGTGTTACGCTTCAAACAGATCTAGGTTATGATATGAGTGAGAGACTGCTGATAAATATGCAACTTAGTGCAAGCACCCTGTAGAATAGTATACGTATTGCTTCAAAGGACGCCATATTAGACTGTTAAAGTCGCCATTCTGTATCCGTAACAACTAAAAAAAACGATTCTACAGTTAACTTACATACATAAAAGCAGCTGTAAACATGTGTTCCCCATTGAATGACCATTTTTGTTGAATGTGATGACGTATAAATCTCAGAAGTACTTTGTTAAAAGCCCAGAAAGGCTTGGCTCATCAATATAGAAAAACATTGTCAAATAAATATTTTGTGTTTACATGGAGATAAATACGTTCTGCAAGAAATACAGCTGTATTCAAGTGGATCGACTTATGTTATACTATATTTTACTCAATTATCTCAAGCGATGTCATCGTTTTAAAGTCGCTGAAACTTGCAGCAAGTAAAACTGCCCGTTGAGCGGTGTGTTTGCATATCCATAAAAGAACAACAATTGTGTCCTTCGAAGACCTCGTACATTTCACTGATTTTACTTTTGTTACGGAGGGTGCACTGGGTAAACAAAGAAGGGGTGGGGGCACCTATACATGTCACTATATAGTTCGGTCTCTTAATGTGCGTTGGTCAGCCAGAAGAATCAATAAAACAGATATGAAAGTATTGCCTAGTGCACTGCCCTTTCTACCTGGTCTCGTGCACCACGTGACCCTTCTTGTTTGACAAGGCAGTCGTAAGTAACTTATCTACGCAGTATCGGAGCTTTTTTTCTCATCGCTTTTGGCGCCGGGGTTTCAATCATTAACACCACTCTTTCCCCTATAAAGCATTGCAAATAAAATCCTCATTGTTTTTTAGCAGTACCTCCGACACCATGGCAGCTATATAGAACCACCACCACACGCTCATGCACGCAGCTTCGTGCCACGAATGATGCGTCTGTGACAGGCCACCATGTATGCATGACTCGCCATCAAAAATGACTGTTCTTAACTGAGCAATCCACAAGATAGTGTCGTGGCAGGTCCTCCATGGTATCGTTCACCTTTCTGATGGAACTGCATTTTCCATAAAACCATTCAGTATGCATGTGAAAACCTTCCTCCTTTTTTGAAATCCAGGGTTCAATTTTTCTACGTTCGGATAAGTAACGATAATGCGTGTTGAAAAAAAAAACATCTTGTTCTGTTTAAAGATGTTCAGACGCAACGCCCCGATGTTATTTCTAAAATCGCTGGGCTGTTTGGTCTAACACGAGCAAAGCGAAACGTTTGCCCAAGGAAGCAGCGAGGCGCAGGGCTGTTCCATTTGTGTCATTAATCACTAGCCGGATGCTTCCATCAGTGGAAGTGGCTGGCGGTGCTAGCACGGAAAAACGGAAGAAAAAGCGGAAGCTGGTCTGTGCGCTCTGCGGAAAGAGGTAATAGAAGGGTGGAAGTGGGTGAAACACAGCGCGATTGTCTCTTGTCGCCGACATGCCACGCTGTGAACTAAACAAACGCTTTACTTACGGAGGTCCACTGTATAGAGCTGTCGGACGTTCGCTTGCTGTAAAGAGCGCCTGCAGACACACTAAAGCGGAATTCCAAAACATAATTCTTGTCAGCCTTTCTTTCAACTAACCCAACAGAGTTCATGAAGCGTGACTTATCTACGTTTGTAGGAGTTATAAGCTGTTGTATTTCGGTGTAGTTTGGACCTAAACGTGTAGGCTTTGTTTTTTTTTCATACCTCTGTTTGAGAAACGTTCATAGAGTTAGACAGTAATAGTGTTGAGTTTTGTGACGTCTTGTACTCTAAACGTTAATATGACACAGCAAGCGTATCGCGCTCTTTAAAAAACATCGAGAAGATGTAGTATTTGAGGGGATTTTCATCGTCTTGCACCGATTGAGCTTTACACTGCCGGGGTCCTTTTTTACTCTAGAAAAGTTTTAGTGGGTTGGAAAGAGAGAGAGGAGAGGGTATTACCGGCTACAAGATATTGAAGAGCAGACAGCCGACATTTCTAGGTTGCAGCTTATTGGTAGCAATCACTCCATGCAAGACAGCATAGCAGCATTGCTGGGCACGGTACTTTTTCTTTGGTTAGACGCCGATGGGGCTAGTTATCGAAAAAGGTTTTAGGATCCACGAAGTATAATGAAATAGTCTGAACAATGTTTTAAAAATATTTTTAATGACGCCACGCTCCTGCGGAAGCGACAAATAATACGCTTCAGATTATCGTATCAGTGAAACGGAGAAGAGATGGAGGTTGGTGAAGTGTGTAATTTAAGGCAATTGTGTACTGCTCCACGCATTTTAAGTTGATGTGATTAATCAAACCGGAATAATTGGTGGTGATTGGCGGATACGTCGCATTGACCCATTGCTGGAGATGGGAAGCATGAGGGTACGATAAGACATTCTCTCGCATTTGCTTAGGCCAACACTATTCACTATCAGCCGTCACCTTACCCATACTTTTGCCAGCGCTAGCCGAGGTTATTCATCGTTTACTCGAAAATAGCCAGAGTCATAGCTCATAATACATTATTCTTGTCTAGGAGTAAATGCTGTAGAACAGCACACCGGCAGTAGTTTACCATTCCCTACTCGTTCACAAAGCTCTTATTGTTATAATAGGCTGACGTTTCGCGTGAAAAATAATTTTAATTCAAGACATACCTTTTATTGCGGCAAAATTTCTTTCAATAGTTAGCTTAACAGGTGAAAAAATTGTATTTTACCAATGCATAAAGTAACAACTTAGGAAAATACAAGTTTAGGAAGGTAGATTTCGTCGAAGCCAGTCAGTAGCGCAGTGACATTTGAATTTTAGTGCTTCGATGGCGGCAGAATTGCCAGTGGCTTATGTATTTACTAAGATGTTTTGAGTGGCCTTTAAAGAAACGACGATGGTCGAAATTTTTGTATACCCCTTCAGCGCGGCATGACTCGTCTTTATATCGTGTACTTGGCACGTAAAACATCACTTGATATTATTACCTATCGTTGCTACTTTTAACACCCTGATGAAGTACGTGTCCTGAGAATGTTCTGAAACTCGCAGATGTGCCAGACCCTCCGAGTGACGTAGACGTCCGAGAAGTTGGAAGCAGAACAGCGCGCGTCACGTGGTCTGTCCCGTTCACTGGGAATTCGCCCATCACGCAATACGTGCTCACTGGAAGACTGCAGACGGTGGGTAATCAGTTTGACTGTATCTGCTACTTTTACATGCTTAGATATAGGTTTATAACGGGCTCTGCCACTTGCATATTCAGAACTGGGGGACATGTGTACAAGGTGCCATCTTTCGGCCGCACCAATGGCACCCTACCATAACTGAATGAGAAACTGACCGAAAAATCTTGTGTTTTTAAATAAGCTCGTTATAAAAAAGGACTCCGGAATCGACAGCAACATAAACACAGTGGAACATTTTGGTTCAATTTTGGTATTGCTCTGCAAAGCGTGTGGCTTTCAAAGCAATCAAACACCGCACATTTGAAATAGGTAAGCTTCACTGCAGTAGTTTAAACACTCTGGGAAGCTACATTCTTTCCTGTGTGACACTGTACTTTTACCAAAATGTTCAGTGAAGTCTCTGCTGTTCAGATCTGGAAGTCGTTTTTGATAATTAACATTTTCGTCTGATATGAGTTCTTCGCTTTTTTCTTATTTGTTCACGGCAGGCCATCGCTGTACCCGACGTGAGAATGCGTTACGTGCAAATGTCTTTTGTTTCATAGCCATGATCGTTCAGGTGCCCAGTGGAATGCGAAATTTTCGTATTGCAGTATTTAGTTTTTCATTGATAATTCATTCATTTATTTATATATCAATACAACTGCCCTAACAATGAGTTTTACATGACGATTGGGAGGAGTGCTCACTTAGTGCAACAGTCTTCCGATGATGTGTTTCAAAGTGGAGTTAGATGGATCCAAGCGGCGGTCCCACCAGGTTTATGTAGAATAGCCGGATCATTTTCATCTTCATTAAAACCACTGTATAAAACATTGGGTCTGATCGAAGACATTTCTTTTCAAATACCTTGTGTACACCAATGTGTTTCTGCAAGAACTTTTGTATATTTTTCTTATTGATGAAATTGCTTCATGATATCTACTGCAGCTGTAAACGTCAAACTGCTATGTGTTTATCAAGAAGTATCCTAATATTTCCCGTTAAGACAATACATAGCATGCGCTGACGTCATTTAGATGGCATAATGTAGCTCCTGCACCACGCGAACACAAGTACGTGTTATCATGGAAACGTAATTAGCATATCCAAGTAAATTAATTGTGAAATAGCCCTCTTGACTCACTAATCAGCTTCCTTCAATTTCTCTATTCGCAACAACGCTACTGCGTTCACTTTATTTGTTTCAAATTTTGAAAGGCACTTTAATATAAAGCGAATCAAGAGACAATTAGGCGAATCTTAAGTGTATAAAGGAGCACATACCTGCCATTTTCCTAACGTTTGCTGAAGAGACCCAGTTAAGTGATTTTTGAATGACGTAGTACTGTCATAATTCTAAATGTAAACTTCGAAGAAAAATACACCCAAATTAAAGAGCTGAATGTTCCAGTACATTCACATTCAAGCCTGGCTCATCAGCCTGGTTCTTTTCTAATTATTCATCGCAAGGGTATGTAATAAACAGTTTCATTAAAAAGAGCATGAGACTTATGCGTGTAGTTCCTTCTTTCTATATATGTTATCATTCTCAGGATAACGCACGGTTGTCATAACCTTTGAGAAGTGTTTCCTAAAAGGTCAGTATTCCAGTCAGTTTCAGCAACATCGGACCAAACTGTTTTTCACAAGAAAAAAAAAACTGCAGACATTGACAGCCAGTGAGTAACTCAATAATAACCTGCGAGACAGACCGTAAAAAATGTGTTCGTAATATTTTGTTTTTATAAGCCTTGTCTCTCCTCGTAAACTACTATGATTATTGTTAAATTACTCTGCCCCGTATCATTTCTCGTTACTGCCACCCTTTTGCGTAAAGCCGCACTTTCAACACAAGCTGACACCAATAGTAAAAACCGAACAAATAAAAGATATTTCGCAATGTTCACATCAGAATAGAGAATGGCGATGGAAGAACCTGAACAGTAGAACACTTTAAGTGGGAAAGGGTGCTTACGAAAGCTGTTTTGCAGGGACGGACGACGGGTTGACCTATTTGGTTCCAGACACACATACACACACACACACACACACACACACACACACACACACACATATATATATATATATATATATATATATATATATATATATATATATATATATATATATATATATATATATATATATATATATATATATATATATATATATATATATATATATATATATATATATACGTCGATCAATACCGTCTACATATTTCAGCCTTATCTTTACTACACAAGGTTGCGTTCAGTTGAAGGGCGTGTATATGTGATGCTCAGCAATAACTAGAGCAGACAAGGCCGTGTCGGCAGGACTCATTACGCTAGCAATCACTATAGAAACAGAACATTTAAAAAAATAATAGGTTTTTTCATAAGTGTTCCACATTCAGGCCTTCAGAGAGAGCAGTATTTTTTATTAGGCTGTCCTGCGGAGGTAATGTCAAGAAACAAAAGTACTGGAGGTGCTGATGCTCGCGCCTTCAAAACGAGCAGTATTATACACGTGATCATCCTCAGAAATAGAAAATAGCAATATTTACTGCAAACAAAGGGCACTAGCAAACTATTTTTGGCATGTTTTTTTTACTAGATCGGAATATTCAATGTATCGAAGTTTGAGAATATAGAGATTTGTGGTAGTACGCAGTTTCGAGGAGCTTCAAGATAACCCGGGGAGGCATCAAGAGCTTCTACTTTTGTATGATGAAATAGAGCGACGTGTAGAGAGTTGCTTTTAATTTTTCGCAGTATTCAGTATCCAAGAGTAGCTACTATATAACAACAAAAATCGAACAGTTTAAGTAACACAAGAAGCTGAAATTGTAATATCACAAGTAATTGAGACCTGCAGGTGTTTCACTGCGTGTTGACAGCTTACTGTTCGAATGCGAAGCATTTTTTTGCGAGCTTTGGTGACTTTGAGCTTATCTATGTATCTAGCCACTTCTATCTTCTTTCCGACCCTTTTCCCCACCCTCGTGCAGGTTAGCAAACCAGTTCTTCTAGGTAACCTCCCTGTCTCTTCCTTTTATTTATCTCTCTCTCTCTCTCTCTCTCTACATTTGGGTGCTCTCGTGGTCACCTGCTTAACTTGGCGTGAACCAAAATTAGCATGAGGGAGGGGGGGGGGGGGGGGGTAAATGGTTTGACGAGTATGATGCGCTGGTCAAGACATGAAGAACGTCACAATCCCATCGCGAACGTCGTCAAACGTTTTCCGCTGGACAGTGGCAGATAGCCACAGGCGGGTATGTGCCACTGATATGCAGGTATGTGCCACAGAGGATTGGCGCTTAGTATCTACCTGGAACGACGAGAACACACGTTGGTGATTTTCATGCGTGAGCGTTGTTCAATACCCGACATCGGTAGCATCGACCCAACAAAGGCATAGAATAAATGTCAGTGTTAAGAAAAATCTGACATAGGCACCGTTGATCCTCCGACGAATGCAAATTATAAATTTCAGGGACCCAGCAGCAACTGAACCCAAGCATTCTGCGTGGCAGTCAAGCATTCTACCACGGAGCTACGCCAGGTCTCGGAACTACTTTCCAAATAGGCGCTAATCTTCGTGAAACGTGAATAGTGGTTGCAGTGCTGCCTACCCAATTTTATAAACTATACATACGTACTCTTTTGATACAGTCGTCAAGTCGGGTTAACGTCAATTGTGGTTAGGTGCCATGCGCTGAAGTGGATTTATGCAGCAGTGTCCAGGGCCAGCAAATTTGTGAGCATCAGCTCTTTATATCAGCTTCTGGTGTTGCTAATACGCATGTTCCAGTTGACAGTGTTGCGCAAATGGGAACAACTAATTATATAAACATCTGCAACTTTTCAAGATATGTCTGCGCGCGAAACATTTTTACACATATTTAGCGTTATTTCTTGACGTGACGTTCAATAAAAAAATTGCAACGCGATCACTTTTTCTCCATATGTTTCGCATAACGTCAACTCCCAGGTACGTAGGTTCTTTCGATTTTTTTTTAAATATACTTTGAGATATACATATAGAAAGCGTGTGTTTTACAAAAAAAGACAGATATTCTACTATGTGAAGTTAGATGATTAGCCATGCTATTTTATGGTTGACTTTCTTTCCTTTCTCACAAACTATTCTCTCTATACTTTGAACATGACTCAAAAATTACTCAGCATTTTGAACAATATGCAATTACAGACCATGTAACTACATCTGAAATGGCTTTCCAGAAAGTCCCTTTTCAATTACTCATTCGATCCATGAAAGTTTTCCTCTAAGTAGTGTGGTAAAATTGTCTTTTGTTTTCCACATTCTTCAATTCACAATATCAGTTGTCTTGTATCGCTTGCTTAACGCGCTTGTAATTTCGTGCATGATCTGAGTCAGCGTTTTCTCCCGCGTGTTTCTTCTTAATTTCAGTAGAGTGGTGCTGAGTAGCTGGATTTGCGCAATGTCAGTAGGAAATACTTTTTTGTTTGCGCACAAATATTACACACAGAACTATAGGTATGCAGAGCTTCGCTGAAATATTGAAGGCTCGTAAATGTAGCGATATGCAACCTTATCATTGGCATCCATAACTGTTCTAAGAAATCTCGATCCGAAGCGTAATCTTATAGTAACGCTATTGTTTAGCGTTACACGTTGGGATTGATGAAAAGTACTCAACGGTTCTTTTCATGCTATAGCTCGCTTCGAAGGACTTTCGGTGACTCTAAGCGTGAAATAGGTGTTGCTGTGAGCGACACCTATTTCACACCTATTTTTCTACATATTGTCACTTGGTCGTGAGGTTGACAAATGTAGCAGTCAGTGTCTTCGAGGTGAAACTCTTTATTTGGCAACACAACTACCCTTGGTTGGATTATGAATTGAATCCAAATCACATGCGTGATAATCAGATGCGTCACACAGCTGCAATGCAAAGAAGCCATTTGCGAAGGTCACGTAGGGTGTGGAGCTTCTTCAACGCATGTAAAATCGCATGGCTGAACCTTAGAATTGACACATGTCAAAACATGTCACTAGCAAAATGAGTAGCTCTCTCAGAGGCACCTGCATTTACGAAGGGTTCAGACGTAACTAATCAACATAGCCAACAACTTTCAGAAAGTATGAAGCTGTAAAGGTGTGCGCAGTGCTTCAGGGGCACGTAGTGGGTAAGTGGTTACTTCCCTAACTGGTAAAAAGGAGAATTATGTCGCAGTGAGCACTTCTCAACTGTGTGCGCATACACTTTAGGATAGTTGAAAATGACCAATGTTTAGCGCACGCACGTTACTTTCTTTGCGCCACAGTTGGAGTGTCTGCCGGTATTAAACCAGCCTGCATATCGGCAAGGTTATGCAAACAAGCGGTGCCTAGTTAGTTAAGAGTTAGCTCTCGCGTTGTACTCTTGAAAACTAAGTTCAAGTGCCCTCAAAGTTCTGCAAACGTTGCCGTCGTTAAAATCCCCAAATTACATTATAATTGTCGAACATGTTAAGGCAAATGGAAGATCACGGAGCACTAACTTTGCCTAGGAGAAGTGTGTAGTTGTCCACGGTGATCCACGGTGATCACAACGCGCCGATAGCTTCTCCTCACACTGTGTGACTTTGTGGCAGAGCACGCTTTAAAAGTACAAGGGAAGAGTCTTTTTATGGGTCCATTATTGAGCCACGTAATAAATGGCAGTTAGTTTTAATAATTTACTGCGTGTCCAATGAAGAGCGTTCTACAGCATTACTTTTAAACTGTTTGAAATTGAGGTGAGAAAAGGAGTATTTAAAATGGCGCTAAACAAAGATGGAGGAGTTGTGCTTGAAATTCTTGCCACTGGTCCCGTGTTACCATATTATGAGCGAAATTCCTTTCATGCCCTCTCGGTTATCAAAGCCGGAGGATCATATGAGGCACACACCTCAACGCGTTGTCCGCAAGCAAGTTAAGGCACGCATGATGTGCCCAAGCCTGCCCAAGCACGACAGAACAGTTGTATTGTTTAAGTGTTCCATGTAGTGTACTGCATGTTCTGCGAGACGGATTCCACAGTACACCCCCGATTAAAGATGCATCACTGAACGTGTATCTTATGCGCTAGATACCGTGTCTTGCCACAGGAACTGTTGTCAAGGACGGTGCACAAAAAGCGCGCCAAGCGTTGCCACGGCGCAAACACGAACGCATGCGAAGGGGAGGAAGCTTAGTCTCACACATTTCTGCGTTTGGAAGCAAAAGCAAAAACAAAACAAGAGCAAGGCATATCCGTCAAGTGAATGATGATGAGTCAGTGAAGCAGTGGGATCGTTCGGTGTTGCCATAAATTTTCCATGATATTGACCAATCACGCTTGTAACTGAGTGACAAAGTGGTGTACAGGTATATACAAGGTTTATCGGTCTTAAATGATATGTTGTGCGAATGCATGAGTATGCATGCTGAATGTGCAAAGGATTAAGAGCATCTGTCAGGCCATATGGCCTTTAGCTCTTGCTCCTCTTTCTGTAAAACGTAAGAAATAATAAAAACAAAAATAGGTTGTTATTTCGTTTTGCATTCATTGTGCAAGATAGCAAATGCGAAATTCTTTATTTTGCATTTATTGTTTTCATAATACTTCTTTATATTATCGCATCTAGGCTGAATGTGGCAAAGACGAGGTCTGTGCACGTTCCCCTGGCGTTTCTTGGTTGTTTTCAGTAATACGAGAGATAGAGAGCGTAAGCAACTCGTTATTAGAAAAACAGATTTTCGCAGGTGTCGATGTATCGCTGACTATAAAACACTGGTATATGGTATCAATGGATGAGAGTCCTCGTCATCAGCACCGCGGCTACGGCGCACGCCAACGCCACCAATGTACAAGCCTAGAACTTAAGGAGCTTCGCCCCTAAAACAAATGCAACATGAAAACAAGCACAAATATGTTTTACTTGTTTTATATATATTCTCAACTATCATTGATTTATTTAGGCAATGGATTACACAAATTAGATATTCCGGCTTGATATTATTCGCAATTAACAGACAAATACTTCTGAATGATATTGTGTCAAACAAAAAAAAACACAAGGCGTTATATTTCTACTTATTTCTATTAAGTCAGCACGAATAGGTATGCCTCGCAGTGTCACTTGCTACTGCGAGTGAGGTTAGCACGCAGATGTACCTGGGCGAGTGACGACAGAGAAAAGAGACTACGTTGGACCCTTCTTTGTTCTACGTCATCACCTACCTCTTAGGCTGAGCACCCACTAGAATACAGACAAGCGCCGTTCAGTTTGAAGTTTCACCTCTTTCGATGGCGCGTATTTACTGTCGCAAGTCATAACAGACGAGATTTTGAGTGCCCAGTGCATTTATTGCATTTATCAATTCGAGATGCTCGTACTTGACTAGAGGCACTTCAGCAACGGAGTTCTGTAAGCCAGCAGCAAAAATATTGGTTTTACTACCGGCAGCCGGAATACAGGAGGTGGATATGTGCCACAGGAACTAAACAGGTTCCACTACTGAGTACAAAAAATGCGAACTCTAAATTAACTTTGCTCGGTTAAGCGTAGTACATCAAAGACTTCAAAGCGATTAAAAAAAAAACCTGGAAAGGAAGAGAAAAAGAAAACTAGAGTGGGCGAAAAAAGACGAGAGAAAAAAATAGAGATAGAAAGCAATAAAAAAAGAGGCAAAGTATAAAGAACGGAAGGGAATAAACACATAGAGACAGCGATAGACGCCGAAACCAGAGAGAAAAAATAGTAGAAAGGGGAGGCAGTAAGATAAAATGTGAGAGAAATAAAACAAAAGAAAGAAAAGAGAAAGACAAAGAGACAGAGAGAAATGAAAGCAAGAAAGTGATGTATAAATATAAAGCCTGACAAAGAGAAACACACCTAGAGAAGGAGCAAGAAAGAAACAAAAAGGAACATGTCCAAAAAAAATAAACAGATGCAAGAACCTGACAGAAAGGAAACAAAAAAACAAAAAGGCTACCCATTAGAGTTTTGATTCTCATATCGAAGTGCTAGCGTGACTCTAATTCAGCAGATGAGTGCATTGGGTGAAAACAACCAACTAATGATATGCTGCGCAGCAGCAACAAATTGATGTACCCGTGGATAACAAGAAGACCCTCTTCCAGCCAAGCCCTGCGGTCGATAATGGTGGCGCATCGCGATGCGACATGAACACGCAGCTTGGCATACTCCCACGGCATTCGTAAACTTTTGCAGTTGACTGAACATCCTCAATACTGATTGCAAATGATGCATGATGTATTATATGGCAAAATAGCATATGTATGGCACACGTAGATTTATATAAATAAATATATATGCATACCTATTTTCTACAATTTTACGTCCGGTAATAACTGTATTGACTGCATGTACATTTAACTACGCGAATAGCGCCTTTACTTCTCTACAATTTTGCCTACCAATCTCTCACATGGAGCCAAACCTTTCCTGCAATCCAAATCATTTCACTCAAAAGAGGAGAACTAATGAAACCGTCCGAAAATATCCTTTATTTCCAGGGAATCGATGTGTGAAAAACGGAGTGAACACACAGCAAAAACTTTTTAATAGTATTTTTTAGCCCTTACAGCCTTTATTCAAGCCTTGTATTGTACACTCGGCAGTGTTGCACTACTTTTATTATTTTTTTCTGTAAAGGGTACATTTTATTTAGTGGAGGTGGGGCTGGTTTGGTTAGAGCTGGTACATTTAGGCTGACACATTTAGGCGGCAGCTTTGCCACCTGAGCATCTTTATGCTTTTCTCTTGACATTCACAAGCGTAAAACACCTCATATAAAATGTTTGTAAATTGTTATATTGCAGTTTATTATTATGGAGTGCCTTGACAGGCACCTCACATGCAGCTGGCAGCATTTCAACACATCCAGCATAGTTAATAAACATTAGAGCGTGTAATCTGTGAGCAATGCTATTAGAATTTTTTTAGAGCAGTCAGCTTAGGACATAGGAATTAATCCCTCAATGTAGAAGCTACTGTCATTTGTGTGCGCTTTTTATCTTGTTATTACGTTTTATATGGTTGTTTTTTTAAGAATAGTGGGCAGTATTCGGCTTTATGTCATGGACCATTTCGTCGACGATTTCTTTATTGTTCCACTTAAAGTGTTCCTAAATGCTCAACTTGGCAAATGCACCAGAAGTTGTTAAAAATATGTTTTAAATCTTGTTACCCTTCCTGGTTCCCGGCACTGCAACTACAAAACATGCATGCCGTTTTCGCGTTGCTGTACCAGGTGTCTGGCAGGACACACTCACGGTGTCTGGCCTGGAGACAAAGGCAACGATGCGTGGACTGCTGCCGACAACTAGTTATCACCTGCGTGTGCGTGCTGACAACATACTCGGAATCAGTGACTACAGTACTCCTGTGGAATTTACTACTTCGAAGGAACGTGAGTAAAAGTTAAGGCATTATTTTCTTCAGGCGTTTGCTTGTGAGTCGTATGTACCCCTGAAAGAGAAATTTAAAAACAATTTATGTCGTGTATAAACCAGAAACAACTATTGCAGAAATTAAACGACCATAAATGTCTGTGCGTGAACCTCAAGGAAATATATATGCAGAGTGTGAATGTGCAAGTGCTGTCGAGGTGGCATAGAAAAAGTTGACACGTTACGAACTGTCAATGACTTCGGAGGAGCATGATTTAAATTAAGGCGGAAAAGCCGCTTCATCAAATCTCATTTATTCCTTAAATGGTCTGGCAGTGCGAAATACTATTGATTCGTGTACTGGGTGGGGTTAGCGCACGTTAAAGAACACAAGGTGGTCTAAATTAACGGAACCTTTCACTACCGAGTCTCTCATAGTCACATTCCTTTTTTATACATTAAGCCCAGAATATTATTACTTTCTGCTGGTTATAATAGTGAGAGTTAAAGTAGGCTGAAAATGCTCTTTAACTAAATCATTAACCGCCAAATTTTGCGTCTGCATTGGTACAGAATAATAGCTTGGTGAGCGTACTACGATATGTAGCAACCTAGTAGGTTTGGGTATTCGGCTTGCAGAGAATAAATAAATGAACCGCAACGCTGGTATGAAGGATGTGGTGGAGGAAAATTCTGTATTGAATTTTGACCATCTGAGGTCTCTCAACACGCAATGAAGCACAAGTACACAGTGGAAACAATAGAACTAGCACTAAAAAACTTAATTTTTCTAAAAACCTCTATTTCTTCGTTTGTGTCCTTTTTGCGTTCTGGAGAACTCATATAAAATGCTGTAAATAGTGCAAGAGCCTACGCGGGAACTTAATTTATTGCGCCGGCTGCCAAGCGCAAACACCGGACGGCTAGGCGACCGACTCGGAATTAATAATGCGCACACTGCTGGTAGGCGAGAAATAACCAAAAAGAAAAGCTCAGTACGTCCAAAGTTTTAAGCCATGACGCAAACTGATCCGTGCAGTCATTTGCCTGTTTGCTGAAAGTTGTAATTATCTCGCCAGCTCTGACCTCAGTTCTACTTTGACTTGACTCCCAATACAAAATAATGGCTCGTACTGGCCTTTTAGTACTATGTGGGGAAGAGTACGTCAAGTGAATATCATCGCAAAATGATCCACATTGCTCTAATAACACTTTGGCTGGGATAGTATTCTTCGTACAGTGTTTAGAAGTTAAACTGTCATAGAAGAGAAAATTGCGTGAGCAAATTGCAGTTCCATGAACGCTTGGTACTGATGATATAAAACGTTTAAAATAATTCTGTTGTACAAGTAATAATGCGCTCGTATGAGCGGGCGTGTGTGCGTGTGTGTTTGCGTTCTTGCACGTGTGCATGTGTGTCAGTACGCGCGCACATGTGTGTGTATGTGTAGGTTCGTATGTATGAGTGTAGTTTGTATGGAATATTTGTGTGTATATGAAGGGAGGAAAGAAGCTTACGGAAAAGCAGAAGGCACGGATTTTAGCCAGCAAGACATCCGGTTGGCTACCCTACACTGGGAGATCAGGGAAAAGGACAAAAAACATGAGAAGGAGGTAGGAGGGAAGTTAAGGAATAGAAGAGTGGGCGAGAGAGTCAGTAAAATCACTTCAGTGTGTGGAACGCCACCATAAGTCACAGGCGTTCACACAAACCCGTCCTCTCAAAAAGCACTTCCACTGCCTTCTGGACTTTGTGTGTGTGTGCGTGTGTGTGTGCGTGTGTGTGTGTGCGTGCGTGTGTGTGCGTGCGTGTGTGTCTGCGTGTGTGTGTGTGTGCGCGTGTGTGCGTGTGTGTGTGCGTCTGTGCGTGCGTCTGTGCGTGTGTGTGTGCGTGTGTGTGTGTGTGCGTGTGTGTGTGTGTGCGTGTGTGCGCGCGTGTGCGTGTGCGTGCGTGTGTGTGTGCGTGTGTGTGCGTGCGTGTGTGTGTGTGTGTGTGTGTGTGTGTGAAACTGTATAAAAGAGGTATTACTTAAATGCAGTTATGCCTGGAAACGTAAAAAAAACGTGAAACCTAATCAAGTGAGCACCGCAGTGAAAACATTAGGTAAAATACACGTGGAATCGCGTAACACCGTGAGGTAGCTTGGGGCCACTTTTAATCAAAGTGAGTTTTTTCGCATGAGGTCTGTGTGCTACGAAAACTTTGTTTGCTCTTGTTGATGCACAATATTAGTAAAAAAAAATATTACTTTACTTTTTAGTAAAAAGATGAACTCCTTCGCTTTATAGAAACTAAGTAATCCTGCATTCGTTATGTAGAGGCTTTTAATTATTACGACGCAAACGCGCGCCTTTTTTATACTGCGGTAAAATGTACCGTGTCGTTGTACCATCTGTATGGTTCATATTTATAACCTTTTCTCTCGTCTTGAGAGATCTACTTTTGACGTATATCCACCATGTGTATTTTAATGCAGCTCCGCGGTTCCCACCAAAAAATGTGCAAGCAACCGCGACAAATACGAGGACAATATCTGTGTCTTTTGACGTGAGTAATCTGATTATCTGTTTAGATACCCGATTTATTTTTCACGTTACCTGGGTGTTTTGGCACGCTCTTGTAGGTACCTGAAAAATGTCACCCAGAAATACGCATCTCCATAAGTGTATTACCTTTGGTTGCTTTGCTTTCCCAAATAGCGTGAAACGCAATTCCCTTTGCGCATTGTTCGAGAATCTTGCTGACTCCTGTTTCGTTTAAACAAACGTCACTGGCTGGTCCGTTTAATTACGAAGCTGTCAGAAAAGTCTTTGGGTTTCCGGAAGACGTAATTTCGCGTGCTTCCCAACTTTCCAGCTCGCTTTGTTTAACTTATGTTCTACGGAAGTAAATTGCCGGGAAAGACTTCAGCGGCACCCTTCAGGCTTCTTTTATGTTGTGCGGTGCCTTGAGTTATGAATTTAATGGCTGGCAAAACGGGGGAACTGAGCTGCTCAGTGGCTGATGATATCACATGGATATTTCCATGAGCGTGCGTATCAGTAGAAAAAAAACGGTATATTCATAAAACAGTTTTTTTCATGTTCATACGGAAAAGAAAAAAAAACATATTGAGTATGGCATGAGAGTGAGTTTGAAAGAATACTAATAACGGCAAAAAAGTAAAAAAAAACTTGCTTGTATCTTTCCCCAAATTTCAAGTAATTATTCCAGTGTACTTGCTTTAGTGTTTTGCTTTTAAAACATAGTGTCGCGCGCTTTCTAACATATGTCATGAAGATGCCCTCGTCACTGCACATAGTGTGTTTTAGCTGCCCCTCACCATCATTTAACGTCATTAGCGTACGCATTGTAGCTTACACTGTGAAACATATCGGCGAAGTGATTCTTGTGGCATTACTTCTACGCGTTCTCTGAAAGTGTAGATGTAGTCAATTATCACACAAGCTGCACATTAGCATGCTAAAAATACTGCAGTCACAGCCAGAAGACTGTGTCTCGAACAATTATTTTCATTTATTACATTGTGCGTTTATTTGTAATTTTAGTTAACGTCACTCGCCAAGATATACAATGAATCAGGAGAACGTGTTTCACACCAACCCATATCGAATGAGGTGCATGAAGTGATAAGGTAAAAGTTTCAAAGACTTCAGCAATTTTATGTTCAGAGCCACAGATGCAGTCCTTACAAGATGGGTTAACTATAATCGTAAACAAGATACCTTGAGTTCACACAGCTTAAATTTACAAGTCAGTTTTTATTTCAGAGGATAGTGTGTGGACATAAAACATGGAATATATTTTTCATTGTGTTTTGTGGAGAATTAAAATATTCTAAAATTAGCGAAATGCTCCAAGAAGCTGCTCTCGATATCATTATTGTCATGATTTATTATCCCTAAAAAACGTTTTTAGGATACTACGTAAGAGAGGGGCGGGATGACAAGAGCCTCAATACAGCATGGCCGTTAATAAACATTGGTTAAAGTGTTCAGAATGCCGTATACATGCTTTAATTCAAAAATCACATAATAATGACAGCGTCACCGGTAGAAAAATGCTATAACTGCGATTACATATTACAGCACGACTGGTACAGATGAAATCACCGTGTATTGGTGGCAAACTAAGGGACTTGAAAATGTGAGATTAGATGCATAAGTACTACTAAATTTGCTACATTGCTTCCATTACCTCTTTGTCTTAACGTTCTATTTTTCTTTTCTTTTCAACTTTTATTACCATCTCTAGAACCCCAGACACACAAAAGCGGATGACCAAGTCGAAGGGTTTTACGTCGGCTACCGCGAACTTTCTAGTCTGGACGCGTTCACCTTCAAGACATTCGATGCCTCTCCCACGCTGCTTTCGGCTCCCACCAGCCGCGACCACGCCTCTGGTCTCAGCGAAATCGGACCGGCAGGTGCGGCGGCGGAGTCGCAACCTCACCGGCTTAGCTACGAGCTTACGGGATTACGCCGCTCGACGGAGTACGCAGTCACCGTGCAGGCTTTCAACGCCAAAGGTGCAGGGCCGCAGTCTGAGGTGGTGAGAGTGCGGACCTTAGACTTCGGTAAGAAATGAGTGTCACTTTTCAATTACTTTGGTTGTCTTGTGCGGCTCAAATGTTATATGTGCCTATGGCTTCGATGTAAAACGCTGCTATTTTAATAACGTTTGTACATCTGTAGCGATGTACAAACGCATATAAATACTTTGAAGTAGCTTCCAAATTACCTCCGATATAATTTTAGTCTGTACAAGTAAACGCGTTCATTGAGTCCCGATTGCCGTCCAACGCCAAACGGGGCAAATGCCTCCAGCGCTAAGTTCCACTGCCCTATCCCGCGCCTCGGGCACCCTGCTCAGAAAATAGAATAATCCTCTGCTCCTGTCTGTCATTGTTAATATCCCCAGCGTTAGTCGCGACGTCACCAGGAGAGCCTGGTCATGCCAGCAGTAGCAATAAGCTGCTTGTCTTCTTGTAGACACGTGCTCTACTTGCTTTTCTTTCTATAGAAGGAACACTTGGAAAGGAGAAACGAATGAACGAAATTAGGAAAGAGAAGGAAAGAGCGAAATGAGTGAGGGTGTCCGCCTTGGTGAAACAGTGGGTAAGATGCTCGGCTGCTAACATGATGGTCACTGGTTAGATCCAGGCCATGGTGGTCTCATTTACATGGAGGCGAGATACAGGCCCGTGAACTGTACGACGCCAGTGCACTTTAACCAACATCAGGTGGTCGAAACTATCCGAAACTCTTCACTTCGGCGTCTCTAATATTTATATAGTGGTTTTTGGGCGTAAAACCACAGGTATAATAATAATAATAATAATAATAATAATAATAATAATAATAATAATAATAATAATAATAATAATAATAATAATAATAATAATAATAATAATAATAATAATAATAATAATAATTATATTATAATAATAATAATACCGTTATTATTATTAATATTATTATTATTACTATTATTATTATTATTATTATTATTATTATTATTATTATTATTATTATTATTATTATTGAGATGAGCGAGGGCCGCATTTGAAGAAGAAAGCGCATGCAACTACACTATTGCGGTACCATATCGAAACATTTTCGCATTTAACTGCAACACTTGAGCCCTATTTTGACCACTGGGTGGTGTAGGGGCTCTTTGCGAAATGATTTATGAATTCTGAAAGTGACGAAATGCGCTTTTTCTTGGTCGGATGCCCTTGCGACACTTGCTAGAAAATAAATCACATGAGTGTAACAGTATAGCCCACTTCCTACGTTGCCGTTCGTAGTGTCTCTTGTTTACTGCGACCTCGTTGCGTTGGTGCATTTGTAGTGAGTGTTGAAAGAAACAGTGACAGCAAGAGTGTAGTTATTTCACAACTCAAGCTAGATTCGTGCGCCAAATAGTTATGTATGATATCTTGGTTGCTCTTTGCATTAGGATATATAAACTTACATTGTGTATCTCTGCTGAAATTACTGCTCTTATGGGGCTATAATTATCAAGGCAGATTCATTTTGAGTGACGACTTATACAAATGCCCGCTGTTTCATGACTGCTTTTGCGTTCGCTGCTTCGGTGGCTCGTTACCACACAGCTTGGAGGTGATAGCATTATAGGTACACTCATGTATTACAAGAGAGGCTGCAGCCCTTATCGGTCGAATGCTATATAGAAAAGCCGCGATTTAGCCAGAAGGGACTGGTTATCATCTGACGTACATGACAATGTTAAGCCACGAACTTTAGTGCAACGCCCTGCCATGCAAAAATCTCGTCATTAAGGTCTCACAAACATGAATATTTTTCTTTTTTTTAAGTCTTACTCATGTGTGCGAAAACCAGTCTTGCAAAGTTTTTCGTTTGTCTATGCAAAGAAGTAACTAAAATATCCTTTATTAAGATGGTTACTAACTGTCAATCTGTCCCAAGGTACTCTATTTTGTGTAGAGCGTGCGTAGATTTCGCTGCTTTAGCCCATTCTTCCGCAAACTTTCGCTGAACGGCCACATTGCTTCGCATTCACCATACGGAGTCATCAATACACAAGAGCCGTGCACACATAACCTTCACGAGATGACAGTGACGATGACGAACGCAATTTCCGCCGAAGTTAGAGAAAGCGCGAAGGCTTCAATAAGCTTCTCCCGCTGGTTACCCGCAGTTCGACAGGAAGCAAGAAATATCATCTCGATAGGTGCGCAGCGCTTTTCATTCTCGTCACGTCTAGTGCGTTTTTACATTTGGCGCTTTTTCACTCGGTGCTCATTCTTCATCAATGGGCTGGGCGGAACGGGTCAATATTACCGCCGTCCAGCGCACGGCCCAACCATCTTTCATTAATCGTCTCTTCGGGCGAGCCTCCCTCTATTAAAGCGCGTCCCAAACTAGCTACGTGCGGCCGCGATATTGCTGTCGTCTCCCGACCACTCCGTCTATGTCGAGAGAAAGCGTCTCTCTATGAGACGTCTTCTTTTGAAAGCGACGCCAGTTCTCTTCATCTTTCCGTCCCACCGACGCGTTGTTCGTCTGACGCGCCCTTCCCATTTTGTGTGTGTTTCGTTTGCTGTGTGATTTCGTGCACCCTTCCCGCCATCTGACCGCTTGGCACGGCACTGACGCAGACCCGCCGAGCGCCCCGCACTTGCGGATAGGCGGCACCACGGCTCGGTCCATATCCGTCAACTGGGAGAACGAACATCTTCAGGAAGCCCCAATCACTGGTAAGAAACAGAGATTGACAAAAGTAAAGTTCTGTTCCCGTCATCTTCCAATACTTTCACGGCATTTTTCGCTCAACCAATAGGGTGGCTTGTAAGTCATGGTTATTACGGACTGTCGCCAAGCTCTCGCGTGAGATCTTGACAACGTTTTAGTTATATTTTCTTCTCAAGTTCATTACCCTAGTGAAGGTATCGGAAAAATCATTGATTGCCGTGTAGAATTTCTTACTATTTCAGGATCTTGATTATTACGTGTTGTTTAGCGTTCTAGGGCAGAGATGGTTTCAAATATCAAGCTTAAATTGAGAAAAAAACACTGACGATTGTTTATTAAGATCATTTGTCAGTGCGATCGGAAATAACTTCTAGCACGTCAAAATGATGAACTACCCTGCCGAGCATTCTCATGTGACACATGTATATGCCTCGTATCCAACAATGTCGTGTGAACATACATGAATCAAGTATGTTCTCGTATGATCATACAAGATTATTGGGCTTGTGTCATATGTGTGTAGCGAGAGAGGGAGACGAGAGACGACGTCGTGAGGGCGGCCGATGGGGCCATGGCAAATCTCGCACACTTTATTACTTTGGTCAAAAGGAGCGGTGGTGGTTGCCAGTGTCCGACACGCCCCGAACGTGAGCTCGTTCTTTTCTCGCGTAGCTCGAGCTAGGCAAAAGCTGCTCGAAAGGCGTGATGCGGTGGTCAAGAAGTGAATATTATGATGAAGGCACTACATGTGTATTATGGTATTTTTTGATAGAGAGCACAATTTTATTTAAGTAGGGCATGCATAGCATCCCAGAAGATGCGACTGTCCTCTCAAGGAACTGAGCCCTCCATTTCATATTTTGCATTGAAGCAATGGAAATATAGAGCGACCAAGCCGCCTAATATTCGATAACATAAAATCAGTTTCTTAGGTCTTAATTTAGATCAAGATGTTTTACGCTACTTTGTTAGGTGAGAAGGTAAGGCAGAGAAATAGCGTGGAAGAAAAAAAAAAACATCAAAATATATATGTTAATAAAGCAGAGAGATATCGTATGATACAGATAGGCGTAGTGCCTTCGTAGCTTTGGTTCTTGAGAAATATACGCATTGATGTTATGGTGTGTGTATAAGGCACCTACCACCAATAATAAAAGCAAAACGTAGGAATTTCAATACAAGGCTTTTATTTATGATTGTGAGAAGGATCAATTATGTTTACCATGGAGAGCTGCTCCCACGCGTTCATGAGTTTTTGTGCTTAAAAGTCACCATTTCCTGGCCTCTTGCATGGCACTGCAGGCTTCTCGTTGTACTACAAAGTGGAAGGGAGCGCCGGCAGCGAGTGGCACGAAGTCTCCGTTCCCCACGATCGCCGGGCGTTTACCTTGACAGACCTGCGGTGCGGCACCGAGTACCTCGTCTACATCCGAGCTGCAAACCGCGCCGGCAAGGGACCCCAAGGCGAAACGCTCAGCGTCCGCACAAACGGGGGACGTGAGTGCTCTAGATTACGATCTTAAGTCGTTAAAGAGTTTTAGAATGCAAATGAGTTCTGTGGACAGCCCTAAGGTGGCAAAAAGAGTTAAGAGAGGATGAATAAACAACCACAAGTGGTTGTCTGTTGTCCATTTCTTAACCTTATTTGTCACCTTGCGGGTCTCCGCGAAACTCATTCTCATTCTTTGTGTCTGTGTGCTTCGACTTGTCGATGAATTCACATCGCGCTGCCGACGATTGCTAGCTTCATAGTTAGCTCAATTGGCAGAGCGACCGTCCCAGAATGGCGTTGGCCCGGGTTTGATCACCGGACCAGGACAAATTTCTCGGCAAGTAAGAGGTTTTTCTTTCTGAAGAATTCTTATGGGTTTTCTTCTGGCTTCGTGTCGCAGACGGATAGTTGTCTATTTTAGAGTTTCAAAATACAGTGTGAAGAGCTTGCCGGTGTCGCGGGTGTAGTTTTAGCGTTTGTAACTCAATAGGAGCCCTCAAGAGGTTAGGGCGCGACTCATACGCAAGGCAAACGCAAAGCTTTGCACGGCACTATAGTAAAACAGTCTGTGAAGGCTTTAAAAAACCATAAATTAATCCACCCATAAATTAATGGGTGGATTAATTAATCCACCCATAAATAAAACCCATAAACTAATCCACGTGCTGCATTGTCATCACCCCAAGTAATGTAAAAAAAATAATCACGTGATGATGACATCCCCAGGTGACGTAATGTCTTACGACATCCCGTGACGACGTTTTCTAACGACAGCGTTGTTTGGTCAGTGGTGGGCTGATGACGGAAACGGTGCGTATCTAGGTGAGGTGCCTCCGATCGTGGGGACAATGCGAAAAATTCCTAGGTGTAGGACGCTCAGCACGTTTAAGTGTTGAACCCTTGGCACAGAAACTCTGGCACGTGGAATGACCCCTCTGTGTCTGCTGCCACTCCGTGGCACCAGACGCGAAGCGTCCAACGTGTTCTTAATTTTTCTCTCTTCTACTTCACGAATGGAACGAAATGAGGCCAGTTTTTCTTGCCCATCTCAGTGGCAGTTTTCAACTTGAAAGAGTATGTAAAAGCTTTAGTGATAGAAAATACGATCAAGCAGTTCCAATATCTATGTACCGCGAGCGCTAAATGGCGCATATGAACAGTTCGCCGTTATATCACCTGCGCAAGTATTACAAGTGGCTGTGATTGCTACCTCGAGAAAACCTGATATACATTCTTTAAAATAGTGTCTTGCTTGTCTTCTGTCAGGGTCACAGTAAAATCCAGCCATTCAAGAGCGCCATATACTGTGCAAAGCAGTCATGACAATTAAAAGGAAAGTAATGCTTCATTATTTTATACTGCTAAATACCAAATTCCAAGAAGGTCTAACGGAAAATTTTCTGATTGTCCTCGGTAATACATCCTAAAAGTATACACCTTTCCAACAGTGTATAAAAACGTCGTCAAATGTTTCCGGTTTGTTGCAGGTTAGTGTTAAATACCAATCTCATACAAAAACCACGCTCTTCTAGAAAGTGATACATGGCGAATTTCGCATCACTTTTCAGGACCATTGGAGCCGGACCCAAGCCGACTGTTTGAAATCAACTCGACGTTCGTGGTGCTCCACTTGGACGCCTGGGAAAGCGGGGGCTGCCCGGTCTCCTACTTCGTCGTCCAATATCGACCCGAAGCGCGCGCTGCTTCTCCTTCCACGACCTCGACCGAGTGGACACTGCACTCGAACAACGTTGTACCACAACAGCAACTCGTGCAGCTCGCCGATTTGGCCCCGGGTTCCTGGTATACGCTTCTCATGTCTGCCCACAACGATGCCGGCTCAACGGAAGTGGAGTTGAGTTTCGCCACGCTCACACTTACTGGAGGTAAGCTCGGGTGTTTCTCGGGTTGTTAAAAATGCGACGGGAAACACCGTTTGTTGTGCCTGAAGTGGGCGAATTTTGTGGAATGTGGCAATTAAAAAACAAGCCCTGACTCAACTATGGCATATAAAAGACATCAGGTTATTTTCACCAAACCAATAGTTTGTACCGGTTTAATCACTTATCCAAGTCAGCTTCCTTTGAAGAAAATGTTGCTGACAACGTACCGATGATTTACCTCGACAAATTCTTCATGGAACTTTACCTTTGATTGTTTTGGGGGAATACTGCTCTATCAGTTATATGCTCCCTTCAATTATTACCTATATTAGCCGAATACAGCTAAAGCTTTATGCTTTTGAAGAAATGTTCATCTTATAATTTTACTACGTGTTTGTTACCGTTACCTAATTACCACATTCCCCGTTATTACAAAAAATAATAACTTAGCAGTTGTGTACTCTGTGGGCATTGCCACCGAGCCGCGTAGATGTAATCATTACAGAACACTACACGTTCGTTACAGAACGTGTAGTGTACAGAACATCGTTACAGAACATCGTTACAGAACACTACACTGACATTACAGGAGCATGAAGCATTGTGTTTATCGGTGAAGGTGAGCGCGTATCACCTCAGTATAAAGGTAATACTTGGACAATATTTGCCTCCACCTTCCTTTGATGTTGACCAATCTCAAGGCAAGCTTTTCCGAGTAAACAATAACATAACACTCATGTTAATAAATTTTGATTAGTGCTACAAAGTTTGAAAGTTTTCCCGGGCGAGTTTATTACATCCATCCATGTGCAACCAATAAGTTTTTGAAAGTTGTTCAGGGCATGTGGAACCAATAATTTGTGTCATTTCAAAAAAAAGGTCTAAATTGAAGTAACCGCTTCACATCTGTTGCCTGGCGCATTTAGTATGACCGAAAGCCACAGACACAAACAATTATCGTTTTGTCTATCAGTCAGTATTGTTTATTACGCTACTTTTAGACACTGTGTAACAAACGCTTAAATAACAATTAACACGCTTGAACATGGTCGCGCGCGTGCAGAACTGCCCTCCCGCAGCTACGAGCTCCTAGATCCTCAGGTGGCCTTCTACCGACACCTGACGGTGACTGTGCCAATTGTGAGCGCCATTGTGGTTCTCATCATCGTAGTGGGCGTGGTCTGCGTTGTCTTGCGAAGAAGGAATTACGATCCTCGCCAGCGCATTGGAGACGGTAAATGCGCAACCTCTTCTCCCCTACATCACCATGCTTTCATTTGCCGGTGCCTCCTACCGGTTTTTACTGACTTCTCTGTCACTACAAGATGATTTATTCGTCACCTGTGTAATGAAGAAAACACATTAATGCAAGGAAACAACTATAGCAAACACGGATAATGACGTCGGCGGCTAGAGTAGCACGCATAGTAAATCAATATTGCGTGTTTGCCTAAAAGCGTCAAACATTTTGTCGGCCTCTCTAATGTATTTTGCCGAGAGTACAGCGAAGCCACTCTATACAAATGCAAGCCATCAGTTACGCAGGCAGCCAGTCCTGTAAAAAGAAAAAAAACAAGTATGCATCGTTTTATCGTTTTATACGTCAAATATTTTCGCAGTCATCAAAACAAATTATTTTCGAGTGGTAATAAAGGAACCTTAGTAGCAAATAACCTCTTATCTTTACACATATCTTGCCAAACTTACAGCTTACCCGCGCTGACCTTTTTTTTTTATAAACTTTGTAGATCTCTTACCTTTGAATGCGAAGCTGTTGAAGCGATCTGAAAAGTATCGATCATGTCACAAAACAGTCATCATCATCATCATCATCATCATCATCATTATCAACAATCATGTGCCACATAATTTGGGCAAATTTTCTACTCCCCGCTATGGTGTGACCAGTTGTAACTCTGATGTGGAGCGAACAAGTAATTAGCAAGATAGGGAAAGAAAGAAGCAGTGAAGGAGGGTGAAAAGCAAACGGAGAAATGAAAAGAAATATTTTTGAAAACGTAGAAACTTTCTCGCATAAAACGTTATTCACGAGGTCAGAATGGAGCCCACGCACCCTTGATCAGAAGGCGAGCGTCCCGACCATGCACTCGCCTATGCAGGCATGTTCACAGAGCGCAGTATATTATCGCATAGTGTTGCATAGAAAGGGGCTAGAAACATTTATGAGCGTGTGGAAGAGACGTGATGGTAAAGAAGAGGGAAAGAAAGCGAAGAGTAGTAAATCGTCGAAAAATTAGAAAGAGAGGAATAGAGAGAATGAATTATTGAAAGGAAAAGAAAGAGAGTGTCAACAAAAAACAAAGAAAGCAAGCAGGTGTACAAGATCGAGCCCAATGTGCACGAGATATCAACCAACGTCGTCTTCTTCCGTATGGTGTTGATCTCTGGTGCCTCGTAACGTTTGTCATGGTGTGCCAGAGATGAATACCACAGAAACAAGTGAACCCGCAGGAAACAGAAAAGAATAACGTAGGCAGAAGATGAACACCATAAGGAACACGAGAGCCTATATAAAACAAAGCTGAACACCATAGAGAACAGATGAACTCCACAGAAAACACCTGAGAAAGAGGAAGCGAGCAAGCTGTGCTTACCGACAGGGTCGTCGCGTGCACCTCTGTCGTGCAAAGTCTCGTTGCAACAGATCACGTTCATAGTCATGAGGCGTCCTAAGAAAGTGTGTGATCTCAAGCAGGAAGCCACGTATCTCGAACTTAGACGCGTCGGTCGGTGGGAAGAGCGATAGTGATCAGCCCGTGCTTTACTGTGCCAAGCTCTGCGCGACTCATTGCAAACAATAAACCATATTCCCTAATCGCGCGTTGCTGATGTGCATTGCATGGAGCCATTTCGCTGACACTCATCGGCTGCCACCCTGAATGTTGCAGGAATGGTGGTCGCGGAGTGCTGCGACGCCAGCAAGGGTGACTTGATGTTGGCCGTGTCGCACGAGTCTCAAGCCAGAGAACCCGTCTACTACCCAGCGCCTTACGCCACCCACAATAGGAGTGGCACGGCGGCTGGTCCCGGGAGTGGTCAATGCAACAACGTGGCTGGCGCTCGAGAATGTTCGGCAATGGACGATCCTAAAAGCCGCACATACGACGTGCCCTACCCCGTCAAGAGAGTAGGTCAATATACAAACCCCCATGCACTTCTAACGTCTTTATTTGTTTGCTCTTAACGTAGTATCGTTAACTTGGCAATATAACCTAGCCGCCATGGTGTGCGTCGAAAAGAACACAGCGTCGTACTTAGAAAGGGTAATGTCATAATTATCAACCGCAATAAAAGGTGCATTGTTGACGCATCCTGTCTTGTTTAAGTCAAGATGTTTGAAATATGAATTCTCATTTCCTTACCATAAGCTGTGAAATAAGGTCACCTGAAGTTCTCTTTTCTGAGGATTTAACAGTGAATATGTATTATTTGTGCTCTAAAGGCGAGTATATCCGTAATGGGTGAATGTTTTTATGGCACCTCACTTGAACATGTGTAAAGCACTGTCAATAAGTACAATAACCTCACATTACCACCATGTTTAAAGTGCGGGTAATAGTACCTTGGAAATAATGGTATGTCGGCCAAACGTGAGAAAAAGCACTGCACTCGCTGCCATGCTTTGTAACTCATGACATTGTGCTTGCCATGTTTACGAAATCTTAGGTCACCGAAGTGGGAGCTAGCGTTAATTTTAATCTGCACGCACTACACAATCCAAACTTTTTAGAAACATATGCTTGCTCTCTTGATCTCATGACTGCTTCTCTAAACAACTGCAGCTAGAAATGTGGGAGCCAAGTCAAGAGGAGCTGCTGACGTGCATGGAAGTCTACGAAAAAGCAGGTATGCATTTGAACATCTCGTTGCTTGAAGAAGTGTAGTTTGTGGTGAAGCTCCACGTGCCTAATTATTTCATTATAAAATGATGAGGCGTATGCATGTCTTTAGAGACTCTTAATTCCACGCATGTGTCTTCCTAATACTTATTAATTATTTCTTTAACACGAAAGTGTTTGATGCCGGCGTCCGCCAAGATTTCAGTCACATATTCCTGTCACGGAATTGACGTCAAGATCCTCGCATGATCAGAAGCCAAAGAAAAATGTTTGGGGAACCAGAGTCGAACCGAAGAACTCTGGGTCTATGACAAGAAATGCCGGACACTCTATCCACGGCGCCATGGTCACATCGTTTGCCCAGCCATGAGGATCTAGTGGCTAAGGTACTCGGCTGCTGACCCGCAGGTCGCGGGATCAAATGCCGGCAGTGGCGGCTGAATTTCTGATGGAGGCGAAAATGTTGCAGGCCCGTGTACTCAGATTTGGGTGCACGTTATAGAACCCCAGGTGTTCGAAATTTCCGGAGCCCTCCACTACGACGTTTCGCATATTCGTATTGTGGTTTGGGGACGTAAAACCCCACAGATCAATCAATCAATCAACAGTCACATAGTTAGTAAATTTTAAAAATGCGCCTTTTATGTCTACGAATATCCTCTCGAAGCGTTCTTGATAAAGGGCAGTAATGCATCATGACCGTAACATCCACGATTAGTTCCTTCAAGACGTCGTTTCTAAGCGTCTATCCCAACTGGTGCTTTGCCAATGGGAGAAATGCAATTTGTCAACGCCTTAACACACCTACATGTGTCGACCTTGCCCCAAGCGTCAGCACTGCTCATATTATCCATCCATCTATGTCTGCAATAGCTCAGCGACGCACACAGGTTTGACCCATATGTTCACGGATGGGTGGGGAACACCCATCCGTGTTCCCCACCCTCCCGGCAAATAATCGAGGGTGGCAAAACGGATGACACGACGCGCGCTGCGTTTTCCTCTAGTCTGACAGTGGTGTTTAGTGAGTCCAAGTTGCCGCCCGTAGGCTCAAGTTTGGCGTCTAATCAGTCACGATTTTCTGGCTGTGACAATGTTTTCTCTGGTTCCACCCTCACCGTCAACTACTACATCTGCAATAAGCATCTAGGACCACAAGGGTTCGTATCACCAACGATGGACGTTAGTCGTTGGGTTGGTGAAGTAAGACTGGGCGTCAACGTGGATCCATTCACGCTAAGCGGTGGTTCAGCTGTCAAACACTAAGAGACTTTCCGCAAGCTCTTTTATATTGATGTAGGGTAAACACTAGACTACTTTTGTGAGGACATGTTTTACTTTCGTGTTTTCTCGTTTTCTGTGAAGGAAAAGTCAACCAGTTTGTTATTTATTTAAAAAAGTATCATTTCCAACCACAAAAACGGCTATAAGGAAATATTAATGTGTCAAACTGTTAATTTCATGTTGAGTGTTCACGAATGTCCCGAACGCCTTCTGCAATAAAAAAAAAGATTCGAGCGGAATGAACAAGCAACATGCCCGCCTCAATTCCTGCAGGCCAAGAAGCAATTTACAGAAGCTCGCCGTTCCACATATCGAAGCCGAAGGGGCGCAGAACGAGATGGAGGGACGATGGTGACAGGTGAGTCGTGGTTCTATACTGGTCGTTAAATCAGAAACGTGCGGTAACGAGCAACTGGTAGCACATACAGTGGATATGAGAACGCATTTTCTAACTCGGAAGACACGATAACATCATTGTATATTGAGAGCAGTTTGCAGTATATATAAAAACATCTGCTATAAAAATATGAGATGGCATTGACCAGCGAAGTGGCACCTTAGAATGACTTGCTAACGAAATAGAAGTTGGCGTTATTGCTAGCAACATTGGAAGTATAAAATAAGTATATATGTTATTAATGTTATTACTCCTAGATTGCAAGAAGTGGCAGTCTTGAACAGTTCTCGGCTATGAGTTAAGGCGTGAAATGCAATAATAAGATGCGAGAGACATTATGTGACCACAGTCAAGCTATTTCTTGTTTTTTTTATGTTTTTGGGCATTGCTTATCATCAAAGCTCTTTCAAAGACACATCCCATTTGATCCAAGAATGCGCTTACAAATACGAAAGCTACTGACATGGCCCAAAGTGGATGCTTTTTAGGATTAATCTTTTATAGTTTGGTGATATGAGATCACTCGTTTGATTCTTACGGGTACAAACTAAAAAAAATGATGTATAATCAAAATCATACAAATCACACCAGTGAAGTCATTCGTTAGTTCTATTGCCAAATTTTCTGTAAATTATGTATTCTGCCGCAGCCAACTTACCCGTTGAGAAACACGCAACAATAAAATGCACCCAGTGATGACGTTAAGAAACAAGAAGAGATCACATGTTGGTCCTGGAAGAAGTGCGTGTTAAGGACATGTTAGCGAAAGGGCAAGGTAACCGCTGGTGATTAATGGCGAGTTCCACGGAAAGAACAAGTGCACTCAAAAGCTCGCTGAAAGTGCTCTCTTCAGAGCTGGCGTGTTTCAGTGGTCGAACAGGTGCCGTGGCACTGTTATGCTTTGGTGGAGCAAGAACGCTTTTGCTGTGCCGAGAGCAGTTATAGGAGCAGTGTGAATTAATCTCGCCTGAAAAGCGGAGTAGGCGCAGTACGACGAGTCACGTGGTCTCTTTATGTCACTTTCTCCCAATTTTTCTTCAACCAGCGAGTGGGGCGGCAATGGTAGCAACTACGTGTAGTTTGAAACCACTGTTCTGCTGTTTTTTTACGGGTGGCGATTATGACAGCTGGACGTCTGACGAATGCTTCGTTGCACAAACATACTATGTATTATGCTTATGAAGAAGTGAGTGGCCGATTTCAGTCGTATTTTGCTGCTGTTCTTGTCACAAGGTCTCCTCACTCTTCCCCCTGTCACCTGCTCTCCGAAAGCGTGACGCATTCCAGTGGCAGATCGAGTGACCCTGCTCTCACTGCTCTGTCTCCCACTTCCCACTGCCCTGTCCTCTACTCTTGCTTTCCTCGCTCTCTCAGTGGAATCCATCATAAGCGTAACAAGGTAGTGGTCGTGATGATGGTGCTACAACTACGTTCATGATAATAAAAACGAAGAGAGAATGATTCAATGTAAGGTGTATATGATGAAAAATTTCATTTATGTGAAGGCCAAAAGGTAGAACAAAATATAATGAAAAATAAATAAACCAACCTTGCGGGTGGCCTTCACGCTGTCGGTCGTGGCACTCAAGCCTTGCGAAGCCGTGACGTTTCCCCTTAAATCACCAGGCGAACTTTGAGATCCGACCTGGCCTTGGACAAAGCAGCCTCCCAGCAATGCTGCGAACTGCTGAGGTGCCAAGAGGCAGGAGTAAGATATGTTATCGTAGTTGATGATAGAGCTTCCACGTAAGCGGCAGGCTGGCAAGCACATGAAAGGTAAGGTGTAGAACACTGGTAAGTGCCGCAAGTTCGGCAGGGTGGTAAACATGCATAACTAAGAATGGGTAGCGTATAAGAATTGTAGACAAAAAAATAGAAACGCAGATTGCTCTATCTGCTTCTTTATGTTTTGTGTCCGCGTATTAAGCACTGCCCATTACAAGTTGTGTAGGAGATCTTATTTGTACTCTGTTAACTGTATCAAGTAATTATGACGCAAGTATGAATTAGGTGAAGGGATCAAAAGGACACCTTGACGCGGGCTCAAAACCAAACTTGCACGCTTCTGGTAACGTGCCCTTTGCCCTATACCAATTGAGCGGTGGCGGCTGTTGTCCTGCCATTCATTTTATCGTCTCTTTGTGTGCATCCAAACCTGCGAGTGTTAGTCAGCACCAGTGGTAGCCGTGAAGGCAAGTGTGGAGCACATTTCTCGTGTGGTTGAACTTACTAGTCTTTGCTAGGTAAAATTGATAGGTGAATCGGGGCTTTCATTAAGGAGTGGATCCGCCACCGCCACACTAAATTTCTTGACATTTACAGAAGTTCGGGGAGCGAGAATGACGCTGAGGATCTGCTGGATGAAGAGCGTGGCGAAACCATTCCTCAGACGCTCATCGTGCCTCTAGAAAAATTCTCGTCCTGGGACCTCGACGCCACAACGGATGACCCAATCCGTTCCTGTACGTAACGACTATTACATCGGACCAAACATTAAGCCACTTTGCTAGCACACTTCACGTCACTTGCTGAAAGGCTATTATACAGTGAATTGTTCTGTATTTGTTTTGTTTGGTAAGGCCATTGCGGGACAAGCGAAGAACTAGCTGCGGATAATAAAACTTACAACGTGCACTGAGGAAAGCACCGTAAGGGGTGAAGTTGGCCGGCCTCTGTGGAATGCTGACATAATTCATAATGAACGTGTGTATGATACTCATTATTCTTTCCAGTAGTGACTCTGTAAGTATGGCTGCCATAACCTATTCAGCCTTCCTTGAAAAGTAGGCAATCGTTACTGAGAAACACGGCTAATATGATGTAAAAAATAGAAAATAAAGAAAGGATGGCTATTGTAGAAATGCAATTTCAGAAGTATACAAGATTTACTTCTCAAAGAAGACGCACATGAGCCTGTACCTGTGGGTGTGTGATCCAGACAGTTCATTATCCAGACAGCCTGTGGCCCCGCTTTCGGAGAACATCGCCGATTGCTTGAGTGAGGCTATTTTATGAGCCACGGATGCTATTGGCTGCCGCACGACGAAATGCCTCCAACCTAAACAAGCTCTTCGGTCTTAAATGTACCCGATTATAGCACAGACCGGCTATACAAAGGTTCGCAGGGAAAGGGGGTGAGTAAAACTTTATCTGGAGGTAGGAATCCATCATCGAATATTCGCTCTTCAATGCCTAACCGACATCGAGAAGCTCAATATTGTCAACTTGAAAAGACATGAAGTACTGCAAACGAGATCATAGCAGGAAAAACATGACATTCTATATGCTTGCGCAAGCAGTCTTGCTTAAACGTTTTGCTTGTATGGAGGTTATACTATGACAGAGTATATAAAGTAAGATTAGAACGTTTTTTTTTTCATTATTGCAGGGAAGAAGTACCCAAGCGCCTACGAAGCTACAAGCGTCCGATGTGCCGGGGAGTACACATCGATAACGTAGGCTGGACGCCAGCAGAGTGCCTTTCAGTGACGGTTCATGTTCCTGCACAGACTGGTTTCAGTAGAAGGACCGCACCGAGTGGCTTGTCTCCCTGTGACTAGAAAATACGTGATCGTGGTAACACAGCGTGAACTCAGCAAAAAAAAAAGACAATGAGTGTGGCCGTCAACTTCACCGATTTGTCTTCACAGTTTGCATCTAAAGGTTGGTGCGCGGACGGGAACTTTTTTTTTTTATGAACTGTTCGCCATCTTTGTTTCTTCTTTTGCACAACGTACTCTGTACAATGAAGTACGTATAAAGAAAACTATTTCAAGTTATCGGAAATAAATCAAAGGCAGAATGTTTGCCAGTTATATGCAGAGATTTACTGAACTTTCTTTTTTCATTGTGTGCGAGCGTTTTTCGTTTAGTGCTGTTTAGGTACTTGAACATAGGCGATCACTGTGGCCGTCTTTCCGGCTTGCGATGTGGTCTTGTTCAAGGCAGCAATTACCAGACCACTGGTCGAAATGTTGGCTCCCATAATGCCCTTTGTTAAACAATTTCATCAGCTACAAAAGGTTCCATCTTCTTCCAAAGCCCTGTGTTGCTTGAATCAAGTGTCCTTTTTATTGCCCTAGTGGTATGAGCTGCGCCGGTACCATCAATCGGTTTCTCTTATCCTCGCGAGTGGGGTGCCATATTCTAGAAGATGGCTGATGTATTGATCGATTAGCATGCAGTCGCCAACACAACATCCGTATTGTGTAGCGCCGAGAACACGTCAGGTCACATTCAAGAGGCACGCCAAGGTAGGTGGCTTGACATTCTTTTTATGATGGCAGCGAACGAAGCACGTAACTCCCCCTTAATTGTCCGCCGGCATGGCGTAGTTGTTTGGGTGGTCGGCTGCTGGCAATAAAGTCGCGGGCTCGATACCGCTTGCGGCATTCGCATATCGAAGGAGGCGGCAAACGCCGGAGGTGCGTGTGCTGCGCAATGTCAGCGCACGTTAAAGAACACCAGGTGGCCAAATTTTTTTTAACCCTCCACTTCGGCGTCTTTCAATCATATCGTGGTTCTGGGACGTAAAACCACAGTCGTTATTATTATTATTATATATTATTATTATTATTATTATTATTATTATTATTATTATTATTATTATTATTATTATTATTATTATTATTATATTATTGGATGTGAATCACCTTAGAGTGGGGTTCAATCCAGTGTTCGGTGTAACCAGCCATAGTGCGCATTCGCACAGCTGGCCCAAGCGGGGACTCGCTTGCTGGATTCCGTCCTGAACGGTTGTGTTGCCTGCTATCTCCGACGCCAGTGTAGCTCTCGCCGATAGGCCTACCATCCGCGATCTCCTCACGCCGTTGAACAGAAGGCGCTAGCACCTTCGCGCCTGCGTAAGAGGCTGTGCAAAAGGCTGGGGCCACTCCCCCTTACAATTTCTCGGCATTAGATACCTGCTGAGATCGTGGAGCGGCGGGTGGAGCAGAGAAAGGCTCGACAGACCAAAGCGCAAGGTAAACGTCGGCAAGCCGATTACGAGCTCCAGTCTGGGGAAGCCCAGCGCAAACGGCAACGTCGGTAGCAACTGCTATAGGAATGAAACGCGGGCTTTACATGCCTAAACGCAACGGCCGCGTCCGCGAGAAAACCCCGGCGTACGCAACGCCTGTATACATCGTAGCCAAGCGTCAGAGTCGAGCCCACAGACGACGCGAGTCTGGCGCCCGTGCAGAATGCCTCGCTGGAAAAATTCAACAACTGGTGGGCTTCAACTTGTCCGACACCGCCAAACAACAATAAATACGAGGATAACACTGCATCCACTATTATAATAAAAACATTAACCCTAGCAAGGCGCTGACCCTAGTCAAACCGATGCAAACGCAATGTACCCCTTACCCCAAGCTGCTTCGCATCGTCTCATGGTCCCTCTTAGTGGGAGATTGTGCAATTTAGTTATAACTCACGATCTCTGAGCAGTCTACCAGGGTGGCATAGTGAATGCAGTTGTTGGCTTCTGAAGCGAAGGTTTGGTCCAGATCGTGCCGATCACATTTCTATGGAGACTGAGTGCAAAAGGCACGGGGGTTGTTGGAATTCAGTGCACATTTAAGACGCAAGATGATCGAACTTTTCGAAGCCTTCTACTGCAGCGTGGCTCGTAATCAGATCGTGGTTTTGGCATGTAAATTCGCAAATATTATTATAAGTATATTAGGCGAAAGCCCATCGCGAAGTTCACGTGGCCTCGTATATGAGGATATTGTCGTCAGCGGATTGAGAAATTCATAAGGATCTAGTGCAACGCTTATTTCAACACCTAATTATTGCAACGTTTCGGCTGAAACGTAGCAACACACGTCAGTTTTTGAACATGCATCTGTTCAATCGATTGTATATGTGTAGGTAAGAAGGAAGGAAGAAAGTTTAAGCGGAAAGACAGGGACGTTAGCCATTTTTTAGACCGGCTGGTTGTATATGTGTACGTATGCAAACAGCTATGCGAGCCGATGATACACATCAAGAAAGTTAGTCCTCCCAGGAGCCTTTGGGGCATTGAGCGACTAATACAGAGCTTTGCCTGGCATGCAATTTTCCACCCCCATACAACATTGTCATCCTTTGAAACTCCTGCGATCGAGCAATGCTGCCGTTTCCAAGATTGAGATTCATCACGCTGTGCCATGCAATAAGAGTTAACAAAGTATAAGCGTAAGTGAAGTGAAAAAGGTGTTCCCGACTAATGGTGTTTCTTTGTAGGTGATTTTGACCGGCGTCTGTGACAAGCGTCTATGACGCCAGAGCACGGTGTAAGTGCACCACACTGATGCACTGTGACTGACTCTGTGTTTGTAAGCTGTGTTATGTGCACAGTGTAAAAATATTCAGTTCTTGACGCTGCCCTCACCTGAGTGGCCAGAGTATGTTTGGTTTCCCAGGCGCACTCTGCTGCAAGCCATTAGACGGCGTTGCGATCAACGTACCCAGCGAAGTGGCCAAAGCGACCTGAAATTCTTCTGCCAACTGAATGTTTTCGTTCTTAATACATGCTTGGATACATGCAAGTAATACTATTAATTGTAGCAAAAATAATTCACATCGACGAATTGATTGGTAATACGTATTCAAAGCAGTGTTACTGTATATCGCGCGTGACATTGACCACTATAAGCATGCAAATGGACGACAAAGTGGTGTGCAGTAATATACTAGGTTCATTGTTCATACCTAATATCTTTCGTTTAGTGGGTAATATCTTTTTGCTTTCATTATTACTGAAGCAGAATCACGAGTTGGGCAGGTGAATAATATTACTGTTTTGTGGTATCAGATCTAGCTTGAAGTTGGCAAAGACGAGGTCTGGGCACGTAACCTTGGTGGTTGTTGGTTGTTTTCAGTCATACGAAATGCGTCTTGAGCATATCAAGACGTCAGCTGCTGCACAAGCCAGTCGTTGTCCGTGACCATCATCATTGTCATACACGTCATCGTCATGGCGTATGGTGGGTACCTCTCAAGTAATTTGCCGTGATGGCAGAAAGAGAATATGGGGTCTGGACCATGCTTGGTCTTCATCGTCCCCAGCATCATCGTCATCGTCAGCTGCTGCTACGCCGCAATGCGACTCCATCACCAACGGACAAGCTTCGACCTTGAGGGGCTCCGCCCTAAAACGTTAGCCAGAGTACTATCCTTCCAATATAATATTTTGCAGCCACAGCAGTCGCACAGCGGTGTGAGCAAGATGCCAAGGACAACCGTGTGCATACGTGTAAGTGCATGTTAAACAACCATAGGTTGTCAAAATTATTTACGAGCCCTACATTACGGCGTCGTTCTTAATCTAATCTTGGTTTTAGAGCACGAATGCTCTGCAATTATTAGTTTCACTTGTTATGGGATATTATTTGGGATAGTTTGTATATTTTATATATCATTATAAATTTATATATTATGAACATCAATGCGACAATATTGAATCGTAGCATCACGTGCCCCCCCCCCCCCATTTTCCTTAGAATGTGGGAGAGGGCGCACAACCTGCCTTATACGTTCACTTAGTAAGATGGAGGGGGGTTACGATGAATGTTACCTCCCTTCCCCTTGGGGGAACTCCCAGCACACGGCAATGCATCGCGTAGGTGTGGCCGACTTCCTGACGACAGTACAGAGGAGGGTTCCTCTTCCGGTTTCCGGTTTCAAGTTTTAGGATTACTTGCCCGTGTGAGGTGCTTACAACATTTAGAAAATGAGGTGAAAATGGCATTCATAGATATAGCATGATTCTTTAGTGGGTCAAGTAGCACCGTTCTCTCAAACTCGGTTGAGATTTTGAAAAATGCTTAGAGTTTGCTCTTGGAGTACGGCGTTCAAGTTCGGTGTGCCCTCGGAATTGTACGGTGCCTCTGTTCTAGGTGATTGCTGTCAGATGGCACTTTTAAAATAGCCACACGCTCCGCACAAATCCAATAGTCAGGCGACAGACACCTTTCAGCAATTCAGTGCCACCTTCATCGATGTAAGAGCATAAAACACACGCGAGCAAAGAAGCGGGACTTAAAGTAGCATGCACATACCTGCAAAAAGACACAGAATCAGCAGCTCACACGTTTCTGCCGAGATGACTTATTCCGCTTTTCGTAGCGCAATCTAAAAATTCACTGACTAAACTGCAATAAAATTGAGAAAGATTCAAACATAATCTTGACACGAGGGATGCCGCTGTTCAACGTGTTGCAGGTTAGAGTTCTATCACCTGTCCATGTTTAAGTCTAGTGTGGAAGTTTCCTTTTTCTCTCTATTTACTATAAAGCCTATAATGTTTCTCATCCTCTTCCCGTTGCTAGCGCAAGAAACTGGTTGTCCTGAACTGGTTAACCTTCCTGTCTTTCCTTGCCCACAATTCATTCTTTCTGTTTTGCAAAGAAAGAAAGAAAGAAAGAAATAAGCGGAGCTCATTATAGCCACTTTTTAGGTTTTCGACATCGCATGGCCATGGCCACAGCAAAAAGAGAGAGAGAGGTATGGTTAGCCGTAGCAAAGTTCAAATAAGTAAGTGCACATTTGATGCAGGAATAGCCTCTGCTAAACAGCGAGTGGTATTCATGGTGGTATGCCGAGCAGCTGTAACCTAATCCTCAAAAATAAATAACAATAGTCGGATACAACTTCAGAAGGCAGCAGTGTTTCCCCCTCTAAGGCGTATGCACACTAGTCTCTACCAATCGACGCGCACTTCATGTGACGTGATGAGCCGTACGGCCGGTGAACCTACTGACAGAAAACATGCTGCCTTTGTTGTT